AAATAATATTTTTTAAAAAAAGAATGTTAAAACCTTTAAAATATAGTGACTATTGCCTGAAATTTCTTACTCTGTATCAATTGATCAAGGAATTATGAGCTCTTTGAGTTATCTTATTAGACATTAATTATTATTCAAAATGCATAAAATCTATGTCAAATAATTTCTACTATTTCTGCATCACCCAATCACTTGTTACACATTTGATTTTATATGAACTCTGCTCCAGGAGAGTAATTTTGAAAATCTAGTACTCCTAACATTGGCTAACGTATGAGAAAAGATAATTTAATAGAGGCAAATAATATATCTTTAAGATTAGCTCATGGAGGTTGTTTAATATTAATACTTAAATAGAAAACTAGTAATTATTTACACACTTTTATCTTGGTTTATCATGGACTAGAAATAAATTGTGACCTACTGATTACTGATGATCTTTCACTGACCTACATTTCTTTCTGATCTGTACTCTTTGATTTTCTACATGTGTTTTTGTTCTAACTTATAAAACTCAGCTTCAAACAAAGCCACCTATTCTTGCAAATTGAAAAACATGTACAATATGTAATATGTAAATATGACAGTGGCTACAATAAATAGTTCTTCAGGATAATAATCTTGTCAGCTCAGTTTACTAACCAGTGGTAGTCCTGTCTGTCAACCATCTGAATAGACCCCCACGTCTTCTCAGTAAAGTGACAATATTCCATAATTATTTAAAGAATTCACTAATTGTTTATATATGCCTTTACTAGAATCTAGTGTTCCTTTCCCTTAAAAATGTTTTTACATGTTTGTAACTTTTATTTACTATCTCCTTTTTTTAGGTAGAGGAGCAGTTTCAGAGCCTGAAGAAATTTTACCAAACTGAAATCCCTCGGAAAGAAGAGGTTGATGCGAAAGCCATGTATTGGACTGGCTCAGCTGAGAAGCAGTGGCAGATATTTTTAAAGAAGACTTTTTTAGCCCAAGAACTGGGGCTTGAGTTCCTTAATTTAATAAAAATGGTGAGAACATTGAAAGTCACACTTTCTGCAAGAATTACTTATCAAAGTCAAAAATCATAAATTCAAAAGTTCAATGTCTGTTAATTAAGCAGTGCTGTTTTCCATAGATCCTTTTAGCTTCATTCAACCTAGACCAGTCCTGAAGCCAACATTTGAATGCTTACTTGGTCATAAAGCCCTTGCTAATTCATAGCAAAAAGGCTATTTAACTATTAAGAAGAAAGAGTGAGTATAATTCAAATGCAATGTTTTTATTATGACAGAGTCCTAAGTCTACCCCAAAGTTCTCAGTTATGTTGAAAACACACAACAAGGTCCTTACAAAATTGTCAGTGGTTAAAACAACTTTTGGGATGAATCTTTGCTTTGAAGAATTTCAAAATTCTTTTGAATCTTCTTCAGATCTTTAGCAGATCTTTCTACAGTGATCCTCCATTGCATTTATAAATGTACTCTAAACTTGGTAGTTGTAATTGTATACCTATGAAATCTGCTAGGATTCTTACATCCACCTCTGATGCAAATGAAGTTTTCCCTAGAGTTCTTAAAGACAGTTAATCCACTTGTTTTAATTGCCTCAGGTATCATCGTAATGAAATTGCTTATTTCATTGTTAGGAAGTGTCAGGTGCTAGACACTTTATTTTTTAAAAGTTTAAATCAATCTTATTTATTTAAATACATTTAAAATTTTTAAATAAATATCTCTTCCTATCTCTTCTAACCCTTATTACACAAGTACCGAAAGGTATTCATATTTAATTTCTCTGACATGTGAAATTCCTTCCAACATTGAAAGCAATTGCTATGTCTAATATGAATCTTTTCTACAGCTAAACACATACAAATCTTTCTGTTATTTGTGAGGCAGCTTAATTTGTCTCTCCATCCTTCTCCTCCTTCCCACCATTGTGTCTACCATTTGTTAAAGATAAATTATAAAATGCAACCTGAAAGCCAAGTACATCTGCAGCATAGTGACATTATTGTTTACTAATTAGACCTAAGACAATGCTAACATGTTTAGCAATAATTTCATTTTGCTATTTTTATATTAAGTTTGTAGCTAAGTAAAACTCACATAACCTTTTTGTTGCAGCTTCAGCCAAGCCATAAATATATTTATGCCAGCCATTTATCTTTTTCATACAAATGTGAGCCTGTATATTTCTTCTTACTTGATTTCATTTGGTCTTTACCCACACTTCCATCTTGTTAAACTAATTTAGACCTATTTACTATATTAGCTATTTCTCCTGGTTTTATTTCTGTAGATTTGACAAGTAAGCCTCTATGGCTGTAATTAATTCTTTAATAAAAATGCCTAAAAAGCAGATTGATGTCCCAATTTATGAAGTAATCTGTTGACTAACCAGTTTTTTAAACAATCATGAATGCTCCCAATAGTACTTTAATTAAACCATGAGTTCATAATAATTTTCTTAAGCCTATACTGGGAAAATTCTTTAAATAAGCTACTCAAAAATAAGGCCTATATAGCTGAGGTCCTATGAACTACAGAAATATTATTTGACACACATCAGGCTGACTTCTAGTGATCAAGGCATTCTTTTCAAAATGCTCACAAAGTACTTGAAATGACGATTTATTGCACTGGTTGTCAGTGTGAAATTTATACATCTCTCACTTGTGTAAGCCATCCTTTCTTCCTTTTTGAAAATCAGGACATTTTCCTTTTCATATTTATCTGGACCTTCTAGTTTCTGTAGATTTTCAGAAACTGACACAATTTTCTTGGCACCTTGGGATGTGATTAATCTCTTTGTAGAGCCTGGATTTATTTAGAGGAAATTAGGTTTTAACAATCCTTAATTACTCTGAGCTATACTCATCTTTTTATTTTCCTTGTTTTAACATGATTATTGCTAAACCTACATAGAAACTGAATATGCATTCAGTGCTTCTAATGTATCTAACACTACCCTTAAGCGCCCCAAAATTTGCTAAGCAATTAGCCTATATTCCTATTTTTTATAGGTGCTTTATAGAAAATCTAGTTATTTTTTGTTTGGTATGTTTAGAACATCTAACCATGTATCTTTTACATATTTACTTGGTTCAATGTATTTTCTTCTAAATTACACTTATAAAAGAACTCAAATATTTGTAAACTGTATTTTGCCTATCCTTTTGCTAAATTGATTTCAGAAAATATTTTTTTCAGTTCTAAAACTTCCAGTTTGCTCTTTAAAAAATTATATTTAATTGTTGATGAAATTCTTTTTCTTGTGCCCTCTTTCTGTATCTGTTCTATATTTCCTTGAATCATATTTATCCTAGGGGCTTTGAGTGTGTATAAACTAACTCCACTATCTACACTTGGAGTTGTTTCTATTGTCTACTTTTTCTCCCAGTCTCTGGTCATGTACTCCTGTGTTTTGACAGGGCTTGTAAAATGTGTCAAGTCCACACATGGTGTATAAACACTGGAGACGCTTCAGGTGCTACTATCTCTTTCCAAAATGGGTCACCCTTCTTTCCCTAGGTGGACATTGGTGGGAGGTCACTTAAGCCAACCAGAAGGGAGTCTGCAATGCCACCCTACAAGGCTCCCCTGCTATTCACCTTGGGCTCTCAGAGTTTCCCACCAAGGGCTCAGTGCTTATCTCAGGTCTCTCAGGAACCCTGGTGGGTCTCAACTCCAGTCTTTGTCTTGGAAGAGTGCTGAAAAAGTCCAGTCTGCTTTCCAGGGGATTTTTGCTTAGGTTTTTAAGTCCACGTTCTTGTATGGCTCCAGGATTTTATCAAGGTCCTTAATAGAAGGTCACCTGCATGCTCAAAGTCCTCCTACTCTCTGCCAAAAGCTCTGGTGATTGCTACTTGCAGGAAAGCCTTGATCATTAGCTTCCTGTTCGTACACAGAATTGGAAACTGCCCTTGGGGAGAAGATGGGAATAAATAAACGAGCTCACCATGCTCTGGCTCTCCCCTTTGGAGTCTCAGCCTTGCTACCTTTGGTTGGCAGAGCCGCTGTACGCTTCCTTCGGATCAGTGCTTTCTGGATCACAACCAGGTTTGCTAGTTGTTCTAAACAAGATCACCATTCAACCTTCCTACCAGACACAGAAGTCCTTTATTACTTATTTAGAATGTTTAAGATTGTAGTTGAGTTTCATTGTTAAAGATCTGCAACAGGAAATAGGGAGGGGTAGGGGGGTGGAAGGGAGGCCAGGGGAATGGGGAAAAACAAGAACCAAGATATGTCATGTACAGGTACAAATCCCCAATGATGAATGTGATCATAATGTATACCTAAAATGTACCAACGAACTTAATGAATAAAAAAATAATATGTAGTTAGATGAACTGTGCAGATGTGAAATATAATGATGTAAGTTAGTATGTATTTTAGTTAATAATTAATATACAATTTTAAAAAGCAGTATCACTGAATGAAAAACACATTACCCAACTGCAGAATCCCAGGAAAGAAGGTCTGAATTTTGGCATGTGTAACTACACAACCAGAAGATTAAACAATCAAAATGTTCATCAGCACTTGTCTCTGGGTGACACAGGGTGGCTTTTTATTTCTTCTTTGTGTTTTTCTGTTTTATGAGGAATTTAATAAAGATGATGTGGCATTTTGATACAGTAAAAACAAAAAGATCTGCAACAGGAACCGAGTCCAAGTCATGCTTTGTATTATGTCTGAATAAATTTGAGTTTTTACAATACTCAAATTCTCATTCAGAGTTCTCAGAAATAGTGTGTATTTTGCCATGACATCTTGGTAGGCTTTTATCTTGATGCCATCAACATGGTCACTTTATCTCAAAGTCTTCACCATTGTCAGGATAAATAAGTTTCCTTTTATTGATAAAAATTAAAATTCACACAATAGTTAATTTTACTGATTTCGTGACATTTTGAGATATGAAATTGGCAGTAAAGTTAAACATTTTTTTCCTTTCCATATCTGTGGGATCATTAGACATTCAGACAAATACTACAGATGAAATATGGTAACTGGTTGGTTTGTGAGAAGGAAGAAGCCCAGCTGGCCTGCATCAGGGAGGGTTCTGCTCCGGTTTTGTTGCCATGGCTGATATTTTCATGCTTGAAATTGAGAAAACTTTTGGTTCATTCAAAAATCATGAAGATCAGAGAAATTGTTTTAGACAATTCTAATAGATAAAAGCGCCAATTTATTGTAGTAGTGAATACCAAGAATGCTGTCCAGGACCAGCCCACATGTTACTAAGGTATCAGGAAGCCATTAGCAGCCAGTCACTCTGCATGAATATAGATGGAAAATGGATTTTTAGTGATTTATTTACACTGGATTATGACAAAAATTTCCATGCCCTACATAGAAGTAAAGTGAGCACTGTTTTTACTAACTAGACTGTAGGCAAATTATTTAATCTTTCTGAGTGGCCAAATTATTAAGTCTGCCAAACACAAAATCACTTGTCCTAGATCCTGCTGTGGAGCTAGACATCAAGAAACTCTACTGTGGCTCTCTATGCTCTTCTGATTGTAGTTGTCATTCACATGGCACAATTTCAGAATTAAATAATATATTTTAATAGCTTGATAGTATGTGAAAGATGCCCTAACTTTATAGCATATATAAAAATATAATTTAGAATTGTTCAGCTGTGTCTAGTATTTCATAACTGGTTAAATCTTAATTACAGGTTAAGGTTTAAACACAATTACAGATCATATCATTTTGTTACTAGGTCCCCAAATTCATAGGGTAGGTCTCATGTAAAAACTGCAGTTTTTTGTAATTAATTATAACTTTTTAATGCTGAATATGAAAATATGAAAGTGAAATATTAATATTTTAAACTGTTTAAAAATAAAGTGGCCAATGTCTAAAAAACTGTTAAATATTTATGACACCACCCATCACTGTCATTTTGAGTACAGAAATGTATTAGAAATTTGAGAATTTATTGAGAAAGACTAACCATCAAAGTAAAAATGTCCTTTATGTGCAAAATAAATTTTCCACTTATAAGCACTTTGTCTTACTCTTTACCCTTATTATCCTTTTGTCTCTAATTGAATTTCTTCTTGATAAAACCATCATTCAAAAGATTCCAAATCAGTCATCCAGAACATAAGTAAGTTGAGAAGCCTTGGAATTTAGAACCTATGCTTCTATAGCATGATAGAGTCATGAATGTAAATAGATACCACTCATTTCTCACGAAATGGAGGAGTTTGAGGGAAATTCAAAATAATTGTAATTCTTCTTTCCCTCAAAATAAGCCCTAGCTGGAAAATCATCAGCTCGGCCTTGAGAACATCAGGTCAAAAATGGCAGCGCTAGTCAGCCTGTTCTTGGCTTCTCAGTCATAACTATTTTCTTGTTCAATGGCTACTCTGTAAGGCAGGCAAGGCAAGGAGAGGCTGATTGGACTCAACATTTTGGATCCCTAGTTCTCAAGGCTGATTATTTTCCTGCTAGGGCTTATTTTTAGGGAAACATAGGGAATACACAATGGGTTAGTTTAAAGGAAAGAACAGAGGTCCTGAACAATCAGTTTCCTCCTTTTCCTGGATGCTGAGATTTTGGCATATTCTAAAGTTTGTTAAAATAAAAGGTAGAGTATACTTTAAATTTATGCACAAAAAAATCTTGACTTCAAAATTTTTCAATCCTAGTGCTCATGAAATTGCCCTTCAAACCCTAGAAAATAACAAGACACAGGTGAGAACTCAAGCACTGCTTTTGTATCTCTTGTGAAAGAAAAACCATTACATGGATTATCAATTTAACAGGTGAAAGAGAATGAGATAGCAAATGGGAACAATGAAGCTCACATTATGGAGAACACCATGGAAAAGCAGAAGGCTGGACAGGCAGAACTCAGCCGCCTTCGGATTGCACGCCAGCTGGAAGCCACCGCACGCAAGCCCATGAAGCAGCAGTGGGGAGCATTCAAAGAGCAGCTGAAGAAGGTGAGGGAGTGTGCAGTGTTACTGAGCTTTAAAAAGAAATGCAATTTTGATACAAGCTACAGCATGATAGAAACTGGAAAAGAATAAGATGAGTGAAACAAACCAGGCACCAAAGGATAAATGTTGTGTGATTTCACTTATTTGAGCTTGCCTGTAGCCAAAGTCATAGAGAAAGAAAGTGGAACAGAAGTTACCAGGGGCTGCAGAGAGGGAGGCAGGCAGCAGGAATTGTGCATGGATGCAGTTTCTGTTTGGGTTGAGGAAAAGAGTCTGGAGATCAATGATGGTGATGGTTGCACAGCAATGTGAATGCGTTAGCACCACTGACTTGTGCACTCAAAATGGTAACAGTGGTGAATTTTGTTATGATATTTTACCACAAGAAAAACAAAAAAGGGCAATGGAAAACAAGGGTGCTTGGTGGTTTACACCAGAGCTCAGAGGGAAGTTTGACAGCACATCATGTCATTGCTAGAATGACCATTGCTCATTTGCTGGAGGGGCCAAAGGAAACGTCCACACGAGTGTCCAATGTTTGTTTCAGACTACTCACAGCTTAAAGCTTCTTCAGGAAGTACTTATGCCTGTTTCTGCACTTGACCTTGGAGGGAGCCGCCAGACCATTTCAGATTTGCAGGGAAAATGGAATGAAATGAAGCCACAGATCCAGGTGAAAACATTGATAGATTTGAATTAATTTTTGGAAAAATTTAAAAACTGTTCCATTGAAGTTTATCTAATTAATTTTACAGCCTGGTGAATTTCTTTTTTTTTTTTTCAACAAAACCATTGCTTGTCTAAAAAATCAACTGTAAAGACATTTTTCTTACTCCTTTCTTGTTTGCATTGGTATTTGATAATACACAAACATTTGGGCCACAAATGTCCTGCATTTATTTTTAATCTAAGATTAGTCCATGTTATTAAATTAGTAATGTCTTTAGCATATGTCTTCACTCTGATTATTAGGGAATGTTTTGAATGAGAACAGAACAAGGGTGGGCACCATCTCACTTAGAGACTCAGATGCCCATGGTCTCTGAAATCATACTGTGACATTACTGTCCTTTCCACTAGCACTGTAGGCCCCACGCCCAAACCAGGAATTTTGCTGTACTCTTGTACTCTCTCTAACCCCTCTGAGAAAAGCCTCAGCATATGAGAGGTAAAACCAGGAGTCATGTCCCTGGCCCCAGACCACCTAACACATTTACCACCCCTGCTGTGGCAATCTCTGAAACAGGTCACCAATCTCATTGTCCTCAGGCCTGGGTTCTAGGGGGTTTGCTGTTAAATTAAGACACCTGTGAGCTGAGCTGGGGATTTAGCTCAATGGCGCTGCGCCTGTCCAGTAAGTGCAAGGTCCTGAGTTTGATCCCCTGTACCACACCAACAACAATAAAAAAATTAAGACACCTGTGTTTCTGTCACTACTTCATAAATGTTGTTTTTTTAAAAAAAATCCCAGAATCAGCTGACTGAAGATTCCTTTAAAAAATATCTAAACGTAGGTTCCTTAGAATAAAACTTAGGTAAAAATATAACCATCACCCTGACTATGCATGCACGCATTTGTAACCCACAGCAAACTCATCAAAACTCTCAGAAAACATGACTAGCCTATGCTACATTCTTTGATATACCCTGTCTACAATGCTTATTTGCATTTCATTTGGGAACATGTTTCTGGATACATATGTAAGCTCCTCTAAATCAGGAACAAAATAAATAAATAAATAAATAAACGTTGCCAAGTTTATTTAGCTCTGTCACAGTGAAGTGCATGTTTTTGATGCCCACGTACTTGATTTGACCTTGAAGGCCCTATTTAAGTCAGTCTTTTGAAAATTATCTCAATCTAAATCATTTCTGTTCTCAACCTAAATCATTTCTGTTACTATATTTGTTACTTTTCTGGTTGCCAAGACAAAATACTCTGTACATAGAATTAAAGGTGGAAAGGTTTATTTCAGCTCACAGTTTGCAGCTGTTTCACTCCATAGTTGGCTTGCTCCAAGGCGAGTCAGTGTGGCAGAGGGGTATTGCAGAAGAGAAATAGTTCATGACATGGCAGACAGAGGATGGCAGTAGCAAGCAGCAGCAGCAGCAGCAAGCCCACCTTCTTTCTATCTCTTTATATATCCAGGCTACAAGCCTATTGATTGGAGCCACTCATACCCAGAGTGGGCTTCCATTGTCCACATCCCTAATTCCAGTATCACACTCTTAATTCATAGTCACACACCCTAATCCAGCCACCTTCGAAACTCCCCATCTATGACCGCATGAGGCTTTGGGGGGACATCCAGATACAACCATAATAATTACTTTGACCTTTGATACAAGATCCACTCCTAAAATTATGGCAATGTCCCCATTAAGTTGTCTACCCTTTGCAAATTATTTTCCAGAATCTAGATTTCTATAAGGGACATCTGAGCAGTGCTAGGTAAAAGGAAAGGCATTTTATCCCTCTCTGCAAGTGGTGGCCATTAGTGGGTTATGGGATGACTGCTTTGAAGCAGTATATCTTACTGTGCTGCTCAGCTGGTTGTTCATTCTGATCATTCTTTTATCAGAGAGTGCAAGTCATTCCCCGATATATTTTTACACTTGTCTTCTCTTGGTGCTCTTACCATGCCATCTGATTCTAGTTGATAGTAAATATCAGAGATGATCATGGGTTTCATTAATATCTCAAATACACTTACTTAGCAAGTGACTAGAATATTTAGTGTGCCATAGAAATACAAGACTTCCCATTTCACCATCTAGATTTCAAACACTGCTTTTTGTATTGGTCAGAAATGTCTGAAATCAGGCACAGTGCCTGGATTTGGGGAAAGGCTCCAAATAAGCATTTGTTAACAAATGAGAGAATGATGCATGATTTAGATTGTCACTTGTAAAGTAAAAACTCTCTGAAGGCTAGATTTCTTATATGTTTTCATTTTTTTAGCAACTGCATTATGAGGTACAGTACATTATGGAAGAGTCAGAAGAGCTAAGCAGGAAAGGGGCTCCTGTGAAAGAGAAGGCTCAACAACTCAAGGACCTTATTCACCTTCACCAGAAACAGACAGAGAGAGTCCAGGATTACGAGAATGTCCTATACAAATTAGTCCAGTTCCATCTGGTCAAGGAGGAGGTAAGACTCACCATGGGTTCTGCAAGATCCTGGGGTTTACACTATGAAAATAAAAATTAATTATCAGGTGATAAATCAAAGCCAAATTGCTTGACCTGATATTAGAAGCTTATGTAATCTGGCCCCTAATTTATCACTCACTATACCCCTACTTCCCTTAATTCCTGCCAAACTGAGCTCTTCTTAGTCCCTTAAGGTTGGTGCACATACTTCTACTCCACGCCTTGACTCTCAGGTTGCCATTACTTGGCAGATGTTTCTCCTCCCTGTCAAGTAAATCTTGTACTTATTTCCCAGAATTCTACCTTATTTGGAGTGGTTCTCTCTCTTCTAAATTCCTAAAGGTCTCACGGTTTATTCAACACATTTGGCATGTTTGGCATCTCAACTCTTAATTGCTTCTTCATTGAAGTATTTTGTTTTTCAACTCAAGTCTAAGTTCGTTGAGGGCAGAAATCTCAAGAACCTGACATTATGGGATTTTCAGTGAATATTATTTGTTGGTTGCTCTTTCAACAAAGACTCTGGAGTTTTTAGCTTCTATTAGCACAGAATTAGAGGTAAATTGATATCCCTTTAAAATAACCTCTGAGTTTGTTCAAATCACAATTTACCTTGATCTTTGCTAAGGTTTTAGGCTAAAACTGAAAAGAGTATTTCCTTCCTTCCTAGAACTGACAATGTTACTCTGCTGGATTTATAGTTCTACATGTATTCAGCGATAATATTAATAATTACAGATTAGCTTGACAGCAATTTGACCAACTAGTAAAGTACATTACAGAAAGTAGGTGTTAAAAAACTGTCTTCATATGAAACCCAGGTTAATTGTCAATGCCCTAAATTCCAGCTGGGACGTCTCACCAAATCCAGAGAACTGGAGTTTCAGCTGAAGGAACTGGGTGATGCTCATGAGGGCCAGAGCCACCTTGTTCGTTGTCAGGAGAAGCAGGCACATGTCGAGCATCTCCGTGAACTGGCACTTTCCTTAGGAGTGGACATCATCTCATCAGCACAGCGGCCTGTGAGCATCCTACAGCAGCATCTGCTATAACTATGTCTCACTGGGGGCGGCTCATAATGTGAAAGAAACAGAGAGACTGCTCATTATATGTTAAGTTTAAACATACAGTAAATCATTAGAGTAGTTATTTGTTGTGAGTTTCTACCACCCATGAAAAAAAATTTTATGGAGAAAATTTGAATGTAAAATTTGATACATCTATTCTCGTATTATTTTAAAAGAGAGACATATAGTCCTATATGGCACTTATGTTTTAACATTTGAAATGTGCTTAATGTAACTAAGAATGACTCTTTTTGTTTTATCTGAATTAATTAAAACTTAAAACTAATCCTCAGTATGGTTATTGGAAAACTTTTAAGTATGTCAGGAATAACCTGGGCATATGAGTCTATTTTTGAAATTGTAAATATGAAATATAAGTATAGATCAAATATCTCTATAGAAATTTATCTATATTTCAGATTTGCTCAAGGTATGAAATGTATATCAGATTTTAAAGACTTAGGATAAAAATATTAATATTGTATATATTTTATAGAATGATAATATTTAGACATATTTGGTTAAGTAAACTATGTTATAAAATTATTTCTTTTTTACTTTTCAGTGATTACTGGAAATATGAAAATTATTTTTTGGCTCATTATATTTCTGTTGGAAATACTGCTTTAGCATTGCAGACATGGAAAACTACTAAATACTAGATCTTTTCTAAATTAGCAACCTCATTTTATAAAGGAAGAATGTGAGGCCCAGGGATGCTGGTTACCTTAGCCACGAAAGCCTAGTATAGAGGAGCCCAAATGCCCTGGTTCTGGACAAGGCTCTGGACACTGACTATTGGTTCCACTTTATGCTACTGGGTGATTTCAGCAGAGAAATCTAAAAAGAAAAGAAAGTGTGTCCAGGTCAAATTTTTATAAATAATGTACTAGACTATGTTTCTAAAAATCCTTCTCTACGTTCTTAACTTGAGGGGAGAAAAGATTATATTTATTCCATTACTATGTATAACATTAACAAAATTTTATTTTATTTTAAGGTTCATGTAAGATATCCACTAATTCAGTGAACCTAAAGTATATTTTTTTAAAGAAAAACTGAAAGAAATACAAGCCTTTGTTGCTGGTAATAGAATGTACATTTTCCAGGAAAGAGCTTTCTTTTTTAAAGAGTTTTATTTTATTAGTGAGTTTATTTTTAAAAAGGAGAAAAAAAGTAAGATGTCTCATTTTGGACAAATAATGCAAATTGTCCCCCAACCCTCTTCTGGTCTTGGCCCCAGCAGCCCGTCTGTGCTAAGTAGAGACTGGAGCACTTGCATAATGAGCCCAAGGTCAAACTCAAGTTGACAGGAAAATTATAGTGCAGAAGCAGAATGTTTCTAATGCATATTTTATGCCTTTTGAAGTAAAAATTATACCTTATAATGAATAGTGTCTCTGAGGATTAGGGTATGGTGAACAAATCTTCAAAACTAGAGCTTCCAGATTGAAAATGTCTTTCCATAATGTTGGATGTCTGGCTTCTTTCTGAAATAATTATATTCAAATGTGTTTAAGATAAAATAAATTAGGATCCTAAATCTGCTTTTAAAGTGTCATTTCTGAGCTCCATGGTGCAGGTAGGTAGTGTATTTGTCTCCCAGCAGTTTCATCCATTCCTTTTGTTACTTTCACGTGTCTTTCATTTTTAGAATTGCTCTAATGTTTCTGCGAAGAACTTGGAACAGCAGATGGAGGCCCTTGACAGCGACCACAGGAACTGGCGTGTGAGAGCCAAGGAGCAAGAGCAAGCCTGGTCCTGCAGCTTGGAGTTGTGCGCCACAGGAGAGGAGATAAATGAGGTGGGGCCGTCAGAACAGGGCCCCTGCCCAGTGCTGCTTTGAACTTAGAACATGTGCGCTGGGGTCCATACATATGTATGTTTGCACACCACACACACACACAGAATGAATCAGGAAATTTTCTTTCCATCTATGTCCTTTAATTTCCCAAACAGGTTTCAGAACCTCAGCGTTCTGAAAGTTTGAACAAACTCCAAGCTCACAAATGCATTGAAGTCAGTATGTTGTCAATCCGTGGATAAACCTAGAATGCAGTGTTACAGGCTTTTTATGCTTGCTTTTGTTGGTTTGTCTTTCATTGGTTTTCCCCATTCAAGCCCTTATAGCAGTCATTTGCTTGAGTGGGTGCAGCTTTTTTAGGGGGCAGAGGAAAGGGCGGCATGGCCCTGAGGCAGCTGGCTCAGCCTGCTGAGAGTCTATTTAAGTGCTGCTGACTCAGGGTGAATGAGGTGCCAAAGCCAGGAGATCAGGCGCTTTGTTCCAGCCAGAGGCTACGAAGTACGATCACCAGAGTCAAGTGGTTGGTTTCAAGCTGAGTAGCTTTTCTGGCAAACAACTCTTAGTGAAAAAAAAATAGCAGATAGAAGTGGTCCTCCATTTCCCTGTGACCCCATGTGCACAATTCCACCTCCTCATTAACTGTGACCAACCCCACCCTCTAGACACTTATAGTCACCCCATCCTCCACTAAGATTGCTATTTGTAGGCAAGGGCCCCAATTCTTGGCTGGGAACTGGTAGCAGAACACAGGGCACCCATAAATTCCAGATTTATCTCTACTTAGAGTGTAATGTTTCTGAGCCCATTAAGCCATAAGTCCTCTAGGCAAGGGGGAAGAGGAAAGGAGGACTTAACCTTCTTGAACTTTCAGTTTATGCTCAGTCTGCAGAATCTGGGCCCCACAAGTATCAAATATTATCAAGCAACATTGAAGCACAGACTAAAGTAGGAGTGATCACTTCAGAGGCAGGCTCTGAAGTGCCCCCGCTGCAGGCCACACTTTTGCAGATCACAGGCAGGTGTGGCCAGAAGGAAAGTGAGTAAGGAAGAGGGCAGATGTAACTGCTCAGATCCTGTTTAGCAGAAGGGAAGCAGGAAGTAGCATGTAACAACTGTTTTCATTTTAGTAACATGCGGCGTGACTATGGTCCCTGCTTATGGTTTGTATTCTAGGCAGTCTCTTTGGGCCAGAGCCCTTTTAACTCATTTTGGGTTGAATCCATAATGTATCTGCCCTCTGCATAGTACAGTGCCCTCTTCTGGGTGCCGTACTGCAGTTTATGCTCCGTCAGCTCTTGGTAAAGAAAACAGTCAGAGCATGTTGTCTCCCCAAGCCTATGTGTGGCCATGGAAACAAATTTTTAATATTTCCCCAAAGTCTTCTCTTTTCTTCCTTCCTCAACTCCCTGTCTGCCTCCTCTTCCTTGTCCTCTCTTCCTCTTTCTTTTTCTCCTCCTCCCCTTCCTTTTTATCTCTGTCTCACACAAACTCTTCCTCCTTGCATTGGTGGCCCAGCTCTGTATTTACTGACAGCACAATCAGAGCAGGCTGAGGGTATTCCCAGCCTCCTCTGGCTCAGTTTCTGTCTCCCTGAGGAGCGGTGGCATTTCTGGAGCTGGATCTTCCAGCAGGAGGTCTATTTATGGGGACTGCCTCGTGATGAGCTTGCACTTGGAGCCAGCCAGCGAGATGACAGATGACACTTCGAGTCATAGTAGGGACACACCAAGATCGTCTGTACCACATCAGGAATGAGCAACCAGATACATGCAGGTTTGACTTGGAAATTGGGTATCACTTTAACACACTCTTAAATATTAAGAGAGGTAGACTTCCCGTTTACTTCTACTTCATATTTAACAAATCCCTGATGTAAGTTTAAAAGACCTTCAAAAACCTTGGGTCCTTTCCTCCTTTCTTTTTATTTTTGTACAGACTTACTATGCATGTCAGAGTGAAGCATCCACACCCTGATTTTCCCACCACAAGCCTAATGGGAAAATAATCAAGAGTATTTTCAGTGTCCCTTAGTAAAATAAAGATAGGTGTGTTCTAGTTTACATTGTGAATATCAGAACACAAACAGATGGTCAGTTTCCACAATGGTAATAATATTGATACCTAGGTATCATCATTATTATTATCATTATTAGTTTTTAGATTCAAGTACTTAGCACATTATGTAAAATGAAGTGCAGTATGTTACACAATTTTTTCTTATATAAAAAAATAAAATAAAATATCTTGCCAGGGAGCTAGACCACACATAGCATTTGATTTTTAAGTTTATCTTGAAACACATTGTTTTATTTCCAATGTCCTTAAAGTCCTTGAAACTCAATTTAAACTGATTTTGGAGAATATTTAGTTCAATGTCTTCATTTTTCAGATGAGAATACTGAGGTGTAGATATATGGTTTTTCCCTTTAGTAGTGTGCTAGATGAGTTTTTGTTTATAGTATCTCAGAGGGTCAACTTTGGGCCAGAGACTCATTTGTTGGGCACCAACACACTGGTCATTCTGTAAATTCAGAATTCATCATTCACATAATGTGGTCCCATTCAAACTCTGCATGGTCTGATGTTAAATGTATCTTTTTCTGTGTTTTTCCCTTTTATCCTTGATTTCTAATATTTCTGTCTTAAAATGTTTACATGATCTGATATAATGCACAATTTATTTGGTCATTTCAACAAAAATTTCTCTCTTGACTGTGCTGTAGCTAATGTATGTTGTCTTAATTCCACTGAAAGCCCTTACAAGAGAACTTGGTACCTCAAGGCAAGAGGGTTTAAATGTGATTTTTTTGAATGTGATGCTCCCTAAAGAAAAAGAACAATGATTTCATACCTTGACCATCTTGGGTTAAAAAAATTGCTTCTAATTTTATAGCAAGAAATAGGAAATTATACAAACTGAGTTTTTAAATTTACCTACTAGAAAACATACCTGTCAAACTACCAGATTTTCCACTCATTTCACACAAAGATACATTTACATGCATAAATGTTGACTGTCAGTATATATTTTCTTGCCCTGCTATGTGAATAAGTCATTAATACACAAAGCACTTTTATATAGCATTCTAGACATATTCTCTGCTGTATTACATGCAGAGGAACATCATTAATTTCTCATTCTTCACATATCTACATTTAGAAATGTCATAAGTTAATATTGATCATGTTTTTTTCTTGCAGCCTATAACAAAAATTACCCTTATATTTATGTGCTGTTAATAGAAATTTGTACCTAGAGGCTCATATTATAGGTCACATTTGCTGAAAAAAAGTAACAATGACAGAATTGGGTTGATATCCATTTTCTCAAAATAAGTTTTCCACACAGCTTTCAGAGAGTGGTATTACCTTACTCTGAAATGTTTCCACTATAGGAATATCTTGCCTGTCAGAAAGTAAGCAGAAAAGGACTCAGCATATATATTGCATATGTCAGTCATAGATTCCAGTGGCACAAATTCTTTTGTCACTTTGGATAAATCTATCATCTTATTTCCAGACATACAAGCTGGATTAAAGCAGTAAATTAGAATGGAAAAATGGTGCCATTATACACACAATTAATTACATTTTAAAAAGAATACTGACATTGCTTGGCACTCTGCCACTGGAAAATAATATTCATGGATAGCACTGCCTGGCAGGAAAATAAATAGGAAAAGTTTGTAAAGAAAGCAGAGCATTCATTGGGCAGCACTATGGTATCATATAGACAATAATTATTTTCCAGATTTATATCTTAAATTATTTAAAAAAGAAATTATCTTTATTTTAGCAAATATCTGTAATATGATTACCGTGTGCCAGGTTGTAAGAATACAAATATCACTAAGAAACAAAGTCTAGGGAAAATTAAAATCTGTGGGGCTTCACAGTCATAGTGATTCATTAATCAGACCCCCTTTGAATGTTATATGTAAACGGACAGGAAAGATTACAATTTGTTCTGAAAACATTCATGACATAGGTTTTAAATTTTGCACTTTTTGCATTTTACATCTGTAAAGTTATTCTGTGGAATTTACTAGGAACATAGAGGCAACTGAAGTTTAAAATTATATTTGTCATATCTAGAAAATAAAACAAAAGTTGATAAATATATTATAAAATAAAACAAATAAAGGCTAATATATTCTGAAGACACTAAATATGAAGAATGGATAAAATATTTATTATTGAGACCTGCTGCCACCTATAATTTGAAACAGCAGTAGTCTTCTATTTCCAAGTTGCCCCACTTCCTGTGGTTACAGGACTGGCCTTAAATGCAGGGAGACAGGGTGTGGTTGCCAAATGGAAGGAAGACAAGAAAACTTTGTCCTGAAATCTCTCCAGCCCAAACGCTGCATTAATAGTCTCATCAAATCATTTGGGTTAAGTTTTGGGTCTTTGACTATCTTCATTTCAATTGCAAGCATCCCTGAGATGTGATAATGTTACAACCTTCTGTGATTGCAAATCAGAAAGCTTTTCTTTGCAGGCAAGAATTGAAGTTCATGAGGGGAAATGAAAATTAACTATTAATTTTGTATTTTGTGCCTGGCCAAAACTGTGCCATAGTTCTAATGAAAGCTTTTCTTTTGAGATGTATTTTCCCAACTTTACAATGTCCCACATCCTTCACAGCAATTGGCCTTGCCAGCAACAGACTTGCAAATAATACATTCTTGGGCCAAAGCTGCCTCAACCAGCTTAGTCAAAACCAGGAATAGTAAGCCAGCCCTGCCTGTCATGAGCCTCCTCCCCTCTGCTTCTCCAATGAAGTTTTCTTCCTTCCTAACGCTGAAAGGGGCCTATGGCTTGCTGGGTAATTTGGTAAAGATGGTCATTTTCCTCGTTGCCAAAAAGCTAGTTTTAAATCTTAGTAATCTTTTGTGTAACCATAGCTGTGTTAATTTAGCATGTTTATTGCATGGCAAATATGGAGGAGGTGAACAAGTGGAAAGACAGAAATATCAATTTATTTGCTGAAAAAAATCACTTAATTTTCATAAGACTTCCAGAAATTGTATTAATATGGCTTATGACAACATTTAAAGATTTCTAATTGGGTAAAATCTTTCTTGCCTCAAACTTCAAATATTTTTCCTGTGTATGTGCTCACTCTGAGCAGTTGCCTTAACCTTCTCCACCATTCCCCACTGTTGACAAGCTAACTAAAGTTAGAGACAGCTGCACGAACAATGATACCACAGCCAAGCAACCATGGCACTCCGTTCCTTTAAAAATATGACCCCAAGCTATGTGGGGATTAGACAGGAAGTTTGGTTTTCTGATTGCAATGTGCAGGTAAGAAAAATTAGATATGGCTAGATTTTTTAGTCACTGGAGGTAGTTAATGGCTACTGCCTTCCACTTGTATCTGCAAACGAGGGATCAAGTTGGAAAAGGTACAAGGATTTAGAGTTTGAATGGATTTCCAATGGGACTAAATGAGAAAAGTGCCAGCAACTTTGTTGAGGGAGATCATGTGTCAGAAAGAAGCCGATCCCATTTCACATATCCATAGAGTCATGAACATTCTTTGGCCTTATAAATCATCTGCAGCAGAGGTGCATACATTCTGAAGCAAACAGAAATAAAGTCACACTCGTCAGTCAGTAGTCTTAAATTTCTTAATCCAAGGTAAACTTGAAATCTTGTGATTTAGAATTAAGGTTTAGTCTTTTTCCATTCCTCATAGAACTTTTTCCATAGATGTTAATCTTTTCCACTTAAACAAGCAGATAGTATCTGAAGGTTAGAAGGTTGATGTCAGGGCCCCCTCTTCCCTCCTCTAGACTAAAGTTTATGATATAAGGCATGTTTCAGTAAAAAAAAAAATAGGATTGAAAATTTTATTTTCCAATAGATAAATATTAGCAACAGGATATATAGTAGTTTTCTCCTTATTTCATTCTAATTTTATCTTTAGTTGTGCTAATGCGCACGTAAAATTTATCATTTTAACCACTTTCTGTGTGCAGTCCAGTGATATTTATTTAGTACATTCGTATTGTGTGCAATCGTCACCACTATACATCTGCAGAGCTGTTTTATCATCCCAAACCAAAACTCTATTATTTAAATGGTAACTCATGAATGAGGACAGGTTTTATTAAACAAGAGTTTCTGGATTGCTCAGAGGTGGTACTTATTACATTTATAGCTGCAGATTAAAACTATGGGGAAGAAAAGCTCCTGCTTAAGTTTTATGTGAGTAACTCAGGATATAGTTCTTTTATAGCTCATTCTCATAAAATTGACTTGATTTAGCCTTTTCTGCTAAAATCAAACACATGCACATGAAAACACTGAATTCAAAATTATTTTAATATAATACAAGTAGATATCAATAAAGAAAATATAAAAGCCATTCTATGAAAAAAATTATTTTTCATAACAAAAATGATTAGAGAATAACAATGATAAATACACTGTGTATCATGATCTAAAAAGAATATATTTTCAATTGCTGATCTCTCAGCTCATTTCCTAGTAATACTATACCTTCTTTTTTTGCTTAAAACATTTTAAGTATTCACAAAATATCTCACATTCTATGTAACAGAGAGAGACTTTGAAGGCTATGTAGGGGAGCCTGAGCCTCAGTTGACCAATTTGTGTTACAACCAGCCCTCGGAAATGAATTGAGTGGACAATGGACCTTGACTTATGAACTCAATTGGTTTCTGAGGGCTGGTTGTAACTCAAGTTGGTCAGCTGAAGGCTCAGGATCCTCTACACAGCCTTCAAAGTCTCTCTCCCATATACAGGCAGATGTCAGTGTCCTTAGAGAGACATTGGCCCTGTATTTCTCAACCCCACACAGAAAAGGATGTTAGTAATGTTCCTTCCAGAACTCTCGGAGGGTTAAATCTGTATCTGAGACCATCTGGAAACACAAGTGGCTGGCATGTGAATCATAACTCAAGACTTTGGTTGTTAGTTAAAACTAAAATTTTGATCATAACCCAAGTTGTTCATATGTCAGGCCAGTCAGAACTTGAGGGTCTACTGTAATTTAATATATTATCTTTAAATATTTTCCTGAATTCTACTACAGAAAAGTTGAAGCTATAGCTCTTTCTACTCCTTGTATATATTATTGGTTACATTGGTTTATGTGGTCTCTGTTCTTGATTTAGTGTGCAGCTAAAATTAATGTTCAATAATTTTATTTACTACATAAAATATACAGTGCTGATTCAGAGTAGGTATGTCAGATGCAAAAAGTACATGAGTATAATAATTTCTGTGCTAGAACTTTATTATGATTGTCTTCAAGAAGTGTTCAAGATATGGTCAAGGCTTTATTTTTATAAAAATTATGAAATATTAATAGATAATATAACATTTTGAAATGAAAATTTTGAGAAAGCATGCTTTTTTCTAGGGTAGACACATTATTCTGCATCATGAATATAAAATCTAGCATATGCATGGGTTTCATTCCCTCTCAGATAATTTGTTTGCTACATTGAAAAGTTTGGTATTTTTCTGATTCTTCCTACCACAGGTGAAATTGATCAGCCCTGACACTGATCACTCTTGTTAAATGCCTCTGTGTAATCGGAGGTTCATGTCTTCTTTGTGCTTCTCTTTGCTGTTAATGCATAGGGAGAACTGCCTGTTAGTATGCTTGTCCTTCCTCAGTATAGAGAAAAGACAGAAAGTGGAGTATTCAGTGGAACTAAACTGCTTACAATTGCAGCACGCTGGTAAAGTCACACTGTTCATAAGACTGTCATAATCTATATTCTATTCTCAAAGTATAGACATATACTGTGTTAATACATAAATTAGCATTGCCATCACTGGCAACTACTCTCACTTTTTTAAAGTAACTCTGAAGTTAATGGCCTATGTCTAAGAAATAAAACTCATATTAAATTTGCTCATAAAAAGTGATTTTTAGCAAGGTATGTAAACTTCTTTTTCCACTAAGTGGAAATATCCATTAATGTTCTTGGTGGTCCACATTTCAACACTTCACTTGACCTCTTCCGTATGAATAGCTCCTTGGAGTCTTAGTAAATTTATTCACAATGGCTGTAAGACAGCATCAGGAGGTGGAAGGATCTAGGGTAGATCTGGGGAAAATGACCCAAATTTTAAAAAAGTTTAGAGTGGGTGAAAATCTCTGCATAGTATGTTAGAAACTCGCATGCTTGGGGGCCAAAGGGATGGTTTTATAACTGTAATCCAAATTTATAAATCAAAAAGTATTAAAAAAACAATTTATAATTATTTATATTGGAGGTATATTTAAATTCACATTCTGTATCCTCTTAGAAGATTTGTTTTCTATTGATAATCCTTTGAATACATTTTGAACATTATGAATATTTTGAAGTGATAGTACAAACAAATATTAATTTTATGATTTTTAGGAAATTGTCTGTTTCTTTATATTGACCTGCAGCTTAACGTGTCATTCAAAGATATTAAAAAGAAATTCAACAATTTGAAGTTTAATTACACTAAGAAAAATGAAAAAGCTCGAAATCTGAAGGCTCTTAAATACCACATCCAACAAGTTGATATGTATGCTGAAAAAATGCAGGTAAGGAAAAAATGTTGTGTGTGTATGTATGCATGTATTTGTGTAGGCATTTGTACTACTACAATTCTTGCAAAATCATTTTGCATTTAATTCTAGATGCTTGTTTTTATAGCATTAGGATTGAAAGAGTATCCAATTTTATAACAATTGGCTTCCTTATAATAAATAATAAATTTATTTCTCTTTTCTATTTCAAAAATAACTTTATTCCCTATAGTCCAAAATTTTTTTTGGTTGTTTGCTTGGCATTCAGCAAAATGATGCCAATTAAATTAAATTTAAATGAACTAACCTATAGTAATAATTTCATACAATAATTTATAATACCACTTCATCTGGAGCACAATTTCTTTTTGTAAATGTATAATTACCAGTGCTTATTAATTTTACAAATATTGAGTTTCAATGTGGTATTTTCATTCTTGCCTATAACATATTTTTCTGAGACAGTGTCTCATTGTGTAGCTCAGGCTGGCCTTGAACTCACTATTTAGCCCAGGCTGGCCTTGAACTCAAGGTGATTTTCCTGCCTCAGCCTCCCAAATGCTGAGATTACAGGTGTGTGCCACCTCACCTGGCACATACAATATATTTTAGTGATATTCATCTCACCGTTACCTTCCCCTACTCTGCCCCTTCCTTCACCTTATTCTCTTCCCCTTTTGTAACAATAGTGAGAATACAATTTCTATCATCTGAAATCAAGTGTATCTTTTACTATTTTAAACAACTAGCTTTGAGTGCTAGGTTTTGGCTTATTTTATTAGTTTTTAAATTTGAAATTACCTTTAACTGACACATATAAACATAAAAATTATACATATTTTGGAGGTCTCATGCATTGTTTCCATACATGTATACATTGTGTAATCTTTAAACAGGTTAAACATAACTGTTTTCTCAGGCATGTATCATTTATTTATGGTGGAAGAATTCAAAATTCTTCTAGTTTTCTGAAACAGGCAGTAGATTTTCTACAGTCACACTACTTTGCAAAAAACACTAGAGCTTCTGTCTTCTGTCTAGCTGTAACTTAGTTTCCACTGATCAACTCTGAGGTTTGTTTTTTGAAGCAGCTTCTGAATGGTTTCTGGCAAACCTACCCAGCCTGTGTGCCTCTCTTCTTCCCCCTAACACATACAGGTACATGTGGGTGACAGACATGCACATTTTTACCCCTCTCTGTCTTTCCTTGGACCTGCCTATGTCAGGAGCTTCCTCCGTGGCTTCCTTTCATACCCTCTTGATGATCACATCGATGGTCTCAATTATTTGAACATCCTTTGTAGGAGACAGTGAGCTTAGAACTTAGCATTTGACTTTGATTTTGTGATCATTGTCTTTTTCTAAAAATCACGCTATTCTTCAATATCTATATAGTAAGTTTTCTATATACTTGCGAATATGGAATAAAATATCTGAAAGAAATTCTGTTCATCTAATTATGATTTTTTAAAACATCACAAGATGGACACTTTTTCAACACTTTTTCAACACTTTTTCAAAGGTATTATCTCACTATCAGCATCAAATAGAAATTGAATGCTATTTTAAAAACTTTTTGCATAGGCTTTGCGAAGAAGAATGGAAAAACTTAACAGTAAAACTTCTGATTATTTCTTAAATTATCCAAGTAATAAAGTTAATGTCCTTTTGGAAGCCATGAAAGATTTGCAAAAACACGTGGATGACTTTAACAAAATTGTCACAGATTACAAGACAAATTTGGGCCTGACTGAACACCTCCAGGAAGTAACAGAAGAGGTATTTTCTTTATGTTGTAGTGCTATCCTTGTTATAGTATTGTTTAAAAAATTTTTTTGCTACTTCAAAACAATGTTGCATTAGTTATTATTGTCATTAAATTCCAGAATCATACTCGTTTTCATGATTATTTCCTCAGGATAATTTCTTAAAGTAGAATTGTTGCACTAAAGGGAATGAATGTTAATAGTTTTTTTGAAAAAAATCATGTTGTCCATTTGCTCTTCATAAAGCTTTTACTAATTTACTCTTACCAGCAACACAAGGGGGTTCCCATTTCTTCATAACCTCATCAACTCAAGATGTTTAAAAATCATGATATTCACGATATTCATTGCTAAAAACCTGTTAAAATACTTGGGGTGTCTTATTTATTTCATAGAATTTGAAAATATTTAGAAAAAAAGATACTGGGATTTTGAGAGTGTAAAATTTGATACTGGTGTATTTTTGTTGTTGTCAAGAGTATAAATAGTAGTCTACATACAAAATATGAAGTTTGACAATTTAAAGTTATTTCACACTTCATATGGAAGAAATTCTACACTTGAAGTTCTTGAGTGTTCTTTGTTGCCATTATTCTGAGATATAAAGTGTCTTTCTTTACCACTAACACAGTTGAGTTCTTAGATTTAACACCACATTAAGGAGGATCAATATGATTATTCTTTGGTGTCTGATGTATAGGTTTGCTGTGGCTCTGTGGCACTTATTTAAAACCAGTTCCTAGCAGAGTCGTGTGTTGCTATTTCTCACCAACATAAGTGGTTCTAGCCCAGGTCACGTATTCCTTCCATCACAACCATTTATTTTTAGTGAGAAACTGTTTCAATTCTCCACTGTACTTTGAAAATATGACTGTCTTCTATTTTAAAAAAAGGTAAAAATGCCATTCTCTGGCATTATTTCCTCTATCCATAATCTAAATCTCATTCTTGAAAGAGAATTTATTTATTTAAGTATACTTCAGGCAGTATTTTATCTGGGATTGCTCAGGTATCAATTTATCATGCTGGGTTTTGAATGTTTTCACTTTCCATTTGACTTATGTTTGAATTCTTTTTAGTACTGCATGTTTTTAATACTGCATGTTTTTGAAAGTCTGAAAAATTCCCCTTAGGAATTATTTTTTAGGAAAACCTAAGAAGGGAGGAGAATTAAAAGTATTTTCCTACTTTTTATTTTCTGATTTTATTTATACATATTTCCGTACTTATTTCTGCCTTTAGTGTCTAAAATTATATGCTGATGTTTTGATAGTTTGTTTAATATGACTTAGAAAGTTCAAGCCCAGGTAAACATAAAGTTTGAGAAACTAAAAAATTAAAAATGTCATGTTTCACTCGCCAAAATAAAGAACTTGAGAAAGCTAATAGATCTTTAATCTGTGCTTTATCCTAACTTAATTTAGTGTTACTTTTGGTATGAAGATGCAAGTGCTACCATTGTACGAGTTGGAAAATATTCCATGGCATGTAAAACAAAGGAAGCTGTAGAAATTCTCCACCAGCAGTTCAATAAGTTTATTGCACCTTCAGTGCCTCAGCAAGAAGAAAGGATTCAGGAGGTCACTGACCTGGCTCAGCGTTTGTATGGTGAGATCCCTCTTAGGATACCCGGTAACTTGCATTGGACAAATCTATACTAAACCTAATTCAGCAGAAAGCATAGTGCAGGAGGCCTTCAGGGTCCTATACAAACCTATTCAGGGAAAAGGCTTGAGATAAGAGCCCAGATCTTGGCAAAAGTAAGCAGGAGGAACTTCTGACAGCAAAGATGAAGCCCCCCAGGTTTTGGGGTTTTTTTGGTACTGGGGGTCGAACTCGGGACCTTGCGCTTTCGAGGCAGGCGCCAGAACCACTGAGCTAAATCCCCGTCCCCCCTCCCCCAATTTTTAATTACTTAGTTTAAGCCCTCCTTCCCTATTTGCTTTTCCCACCATTTCTCTTGTTCATCTCTAGGGCAATAAAACTAGAACAATGCTCAGCTTCTGAAGATAAAAGGGTGTTAATTTCCACTAGAGTTGTCCCTTGAACAACATACAAGCTGCAGTAATATGTTAGGCACAAAGCTAAGACTGAGGTCCATGGCCCTCTCATATCTATGAGGGTTTGGGCTCATGGATTTGAGAAACAGCTGGAAAATTCTGCCTCATCTTCCTCTAGCTAATGTAATAAACAGGAGGTCTCTAATCATCTCACAACTTCTTTTCTCTTCTCCATGATTAGGAAAGATAATATTGTAGTCAGCCTGAGAGTCTTTTTTCCTAAAAAAGGTATCTGCTTAAGAAGTCCCTGGATGGTACCAAACCTTAAAGGCTCTAAGAAATAGGTTCCAAGAATTGTTTGATGTCATTCCTGTGAGACCAAGGGACCAGGCAAATGCAGCCTGGAAAGAAGACAGCAACAGGCGACACAAAGTGCTTTGTTTAGTGCCCACAGCTGCTGCCAAAGAGCTATTTATCTTACAATATGAAGCATCACCCATGGATAGCCATATGGATAACCATACAGAACAACATGTACTGTAGTACCATTAAATAATTGAGAATAAGTTACGATTTTCCAAAGGAAAGGGTATAAATTCCAAAATAAAAATTGAAAAATTATTGAAAACTAATGAAATGACTCCTTCTTGCTGTAGTTACTGTATAAATGCACTCAAAACTGTGGAGGCACTCTGCATCCATAGTATCCTGGATGTTTGCCTCTATTACTATACCTCTTACACCATGGTATAAACATCTTATTGGTCTGTCTTCACTTCTGATTATAAACTCTGTGAGAGAAAAAGGAGTGTATTTCATACTGAATTTCAGTGCCTTTTCAATTTCAGGACATGGTAAGTACTCACAAAGTTCTCATAACAATTACATTCCCCTCTAATCATAGAAATCCTGTGTCCTTCATTGTTTGTGCCCCTGGTTCTCTCACCAGCTGACATATTATTATACAGTGATTTGTCTGTTATCTGGCTTTCCTTACTTGCATGGAATGTCCATGGGAGAAAACATGCTACCTTTACTTCCCTCCAACATGGCATACTAAATGTTTAACAAATATTTGATGAATAAAGAAATCATTGAATAAATAATGATTAAATACAAAATTATATGTCTGTATAATATAGAAGGTATAAATTTAAAATTTTTTCATTAAGTAAGGTACTGTAGGAATATATTACTCGTTGTAGGCCATTCAGTCATTACTGAACCCAGAACTTTAATGCAAATAAATTTATCTTAAAAATAATTTTGTGTATTTACTTTGTACAAGGAGCTATGGTTGCTATAAAGACAAATAAGACCTAGTTCCATCACTGAAGAAACCATAGTCAAGGACTGAAAGCCATGATCTAGTGAATGTGATAAGAAAGTTATGAAATGTATGTATTAGTTTGCTAGTGCTGCCATAACAAAATACCACAGACTGTGAGATTTAAGCAGCAGAAATTTGTTTTCTCACTTTTGTAGTGACTAGGAGTCCAAGATCAGATACTGGAAAAGTTGGCTCTCCAAGGCTTCTCTCCTTGGCTTGCTCATGACCACTTTCTTGCTTGCTTTGCATTGTCTTCCCTCAGTGTCCAAGCAGCCCTGCATGTGTCTCCTTCTTCTTTTTTTTTTTTTGTACTGGAGATCGAACTAGGGACCTTGCACTTGCCAGGCAGGCAGTGGAACCGTTGAGCTAAATCCCCAGCCCAAGTGTCTCCTTCTTCTTAGAAGGGCACCAGTCATATTGGACTAGAGCCCTGCTTTAATGACCTCTTTTAATTTAATCATATTTAATGGCTTCATTTGTAAATACAGTTACATTCTGAGGCATTAAGAATTGGGACTTCAACAAATGTATTTGGGGTTGAGAAGGGGGCAGTTCACCCCATAACAATGTATAATGTGTGACTGCCGAGGCTGTGGAGCTAGGTAGCCCTGGGTTCAAGTCTCTGTTCCTCCAATTACTATCTGGATCAACTGAAGAGATTCTTTTGAGCTTCAGGGTCTTCATTTGTAAAAAAAAAAAAAAAGATGTAACCTACCCAAGATCACATTAAATAATACATAGAAATTGCTTACCCATAGGCAAGTAATAACCACGCAGTATGTAACTGCTGTTTTTCTTATTATTCCAGTAGGAATAGATGAAATCCAATTGGGAAAGATTAAGAACATTTCCACAGAAGTGTTGACATTTGAGGTAGATCTTTAAAAGGAGGTAGAGTTTGACAGCAGGAATAGGAAGTGGGGAAGGATCTTTCCAATGTAAGAAAGAATACTTGGCTGTGGGAATTTTTACATTTTTAAATTTATTTTTGTTGTTCCATTGATACGTAAAATTGCTCATATTTCCAGAGCACCATGTGATGTTTCAATACATGTGAAATTTTATGATGTTCAAATTAGGCTAAGCACAGCTACTGAAATATTTATCATTTCTATGGTGAAAATGTTTAATATCCTCTCTTTTAGTTTTCTTGAAGCATCAGTACATTACTGTCTGTATTCATTGTACTGTGCAATAGAACACCTGAACTTATTTCTCCTACCTAACTGTGACTTGGTACAATTTGACTAGCCTTTCTCCACCTCTCCTGGTTTCGTACTCTCCCCAACCTCTGGTAACCGCTATTCTACTCTCTATTTGATGGGATCACCATTCTTAGATTTTTCATCTGAGTGCAGTAAGTAATGTGGTATTTGTTTTTCTCTGCCTGGCTTATTTCAGTTACCATAATGTCTTCCAGTTCCATCCAAATGACAAAGAATTTTATCCTTTTTATGTCTAAAAAGTATGACATTGCAGATATGTATTACATCTTTGTCCATTCTGTTGATAAACATTTTGGTTGTTTTCATCTCTTTGCTATTGTAAATAATGCTGCAATAAACATGGGGGTGCAGATATCTCTTTAACAAACTGATGTCATCTCCTTTGGATATGTATATATATACACACCAAGCAGTGGGATTGCTGGGTCATACAGTAGTTCTTACTTTAGGTTTTTTGAAAAGCCTCTATACTGTTTTCCATATTGGCTCTACTAATTAACATTCTCACCACAGTGTGTAAGGGTTTTCTTTTCTCTACCTTCTTGCATCTCCTTTTATCACTTTTGACAACAGCCATTCTAACTGGAGTGAAGTAAGCTCTCATTGTGGCTTTGATTTACATTTCCCTGAGGATTAGTGATGTTGAGGCTTTTTGCATATACCTATTGTCCATCCATATGTCTTCTTGTTTGAAATGTCTATTCAGGTCTATTGCCCATTTTAAAAATTGAGTCATTTGGGGGGTTTTGCTATTGAGTTGAGCTCTTCACATGAATATTAGCCCTGATCAGATGTATGATTTACAAATATTTTCTCCCATTCTATAGATTGTCTTTCAATCTGTTGATTGTTTCCTTTGTTCTGCAGAAGCTTTTAGTTTGAAATAATCATATTCGTCTATGTTTGCTTTTATTCCCTATGCCTTTTAGGTCCTATCCAAAAAATCCTTGCCCATTCCAGTATCTTGAAGTATTTTCCCTTTGTTTTATTTCAGTACTTTTATAGTTCTATTTCTTATATTTAAGTTTCTAATCCATTTTAAGTTGATTTTTATAACTGCTAAGAAGTAGAGACCAAGTTGATTTTTATAACTAGTGAGAGAAAGGGGTCTAGTTTCATTCTTCTGCAGATAGATATTCTGATTGTGGGAATTTTGAGGGGAGAATTGATGGCCCAGTTTGCCCAGAGAGTAAATATGGCAGAAGAATAGGGTAACATACATTTGTGAGGAGCAGGTTGAAACTATATCGTGGAGGGCTTGGAACCCCATCCTGGGAAATTTGTGTCTCTCTAAATAGTGAAGAATCATTGAATGTTTTGAATAGGAGAAACTGACCAGAATTGAGCTTTAAGAAATTTATAGCAACATTATTTAGGTTACATAAAAACTACATGGTACAACAAATATAATCATTTTTCTAGACTATTTGGGCTTTCAAAAATGCCTTTATGAATTTATTTATTTGATCAGCAAGTATTTATTAAAAGCTTACTGTCTGCCAACACTTAGACATTGGGAGATGACTGGGGTTTTAAATTTTTCTCCTAAATGTTTGGTCTTTAAAAACAGTTTTATCATTTCTCCTTCCCAGGTTTGGAAGAAGGAGAGAAATACACTGAGAAAATAGTGGCAAAACACAAAGAGGTTCTTGAGTCTATTACTGAATTATGTGAATCTCTCGCAGAGCTTGAAGAAAAACTGAAGGTAATTTCTTCTTTCTACAGTATGTTTTTTCAAGTGATATAAATAAAAGTGTGTTGCTCAAATGCTTTCTGGTGCAAAGATGTTCTAATAGATGTTCTCAAGAGATGAGATGTGCACATCTGTTTCACAGTATTCTAACATCATTATCTGGGTGTTTCTGATAATTAATTCTACTTTTTTCCCATCACTGCGGAGAACAATATTGCTGAAAATGAGAACTATATACAATTAAGGTGCCTCATTTATATTAGATCACATCTTAAAGAATAAATGTGTACCATTAAAACCCAAACTAAAGTCTTTATTAAGTAGCCTTAGTTTGTGCTCATAAATAATAGATGTAAGGGATATTTTTATTCTTCCAAACTCTGACACCAGAGAAAATGAAACTAATATTCAGGTATTCTGTTTATTGAACGTTTAGCTTCATGAAAACAGTTAAATTAATCATTATCACTTTCCATGGAATAAAACATTGATGGTAAAAATTATACAGAAAATGCTATATCTATGTGTAGGCAAAAACCAAACACAGGAAAAAAGATATGTTGTTTTGTCTGTGTCATGTCAAAAACCAGTTTGATTGATGTTGTTTATACAACTGACTGAAATAACTGGATATTTAAAATGGGGAGATAGCAATGTAATTAAGTAAAAGTTCCAAAAAAACACAGCTGCATTGGAGTACTAACTCCTTAAATTACTGGATTTCTGAGCCACAGATTCTATAAATTATTTTATCTCCCTGAGCCTCAGTCTCCTCGTCTACCAGATAGATCATATGGTGGCCCTAAGAACTGAATAAAAATGCCCAAGTTTACTGTTCTGATCATTGTTGTTACTGATGCCTAGTAATGGTCTTGCAATGCAGAGTAGAATTATATTTATTTTGTAGCAACCATTTTTTTCTGTATGAATTTTTATGTCATCAATTTGAGTGTCTAGTCCATTCAAATAATTTGTGAGACTTAATTCAGTGAGTACTCAAATTATTTTTTCCTTTAGGTAAGAATTGAGATTATGTTTTCAACTCTCTTAATATTTTAACACCACAATTAACATCTGTGAATAGCATTTTCTTTTCTTTTTCATTATTACCTACAAATAAATTCCCCAAAACAATTCAGGAAGATTTGTGTAGAATTGTTAATATTTCTAACATAAATATCAAATTACTTTTCATAAATGTTTTATAATTACATTGCTGCCAGTAATGTATGAATGAAGCATGTATCTTTTATTTTTGAACATTTATATTTCCTCCTCACTTCCACCTGATCTCTTGAGGTTCTGTTCCTTCTCCTGCCATCCCATACACTGCTTCCTCAGATTCTGCTTTCCACAGTGAACATCTTTCACATTTATGTTGTACGTCTTCAACATAATGGAAGCCACTCTCCGAAAATTATATCCTTTTGAGCTTTTTACCATCATGGTTATCTTCCTGAAAGAGCTGTTTCCACAGCCTGTGCCCACTTTCGCATTCCCCATTCTTGTGCCACTCCCTGTAGTCAGGATTCCACCCAGGATCCAGCCCCTCGCTTGGATTCTCTTTTGCGCTAGTCAGAAGTCCCTACACTCAGCTAGAGTCTCCTTCCTAAATACAGTTCTGCTTTTGTCATTTCATGTTCAAAACACTTTACTACAGGCTCTGCGTTGCTTCCTATGTAAAGTTCAGACTCAGATGTTCCGGAGTTCTGAGACTGATCACCTATTCCAACTGCTATGCTTCTCCATTCATTATGGGTTTCTGTCCCATTGGTCTACTATTCCATTACCTGATATTTCCCACTTACATACCTTTATATCAAACTTATGGTCTGTTGTCTCTGTTTATCAATATATTACCATATCTGAAAGCCAAACCTAAATACCATCTTCACAAATCCTTCCTATGATTGCCTCTCTCATCTTCCACCCCACTTGTGCTCTTTCCTACCTGTCCTAGTCTAGTCCAGCTGTTATACTCGATGCCATAGACCAGCTGCTTTGTAAGCAACAGACATTTATTTTCCACAGCTCTAGAGGTTGAGAAGTCCAAAGTTAAGACCCCAGTCGATCTGGTGCATAGTGAGTGCCCACTTCCTCATAAACAGTGGTCTTCTCACTCTAACCTCACATGTTAGAAAGGCAAGAGATCTCTCCAAGGTCTTTTACAAGGGCACTAATCTATTGATGAGGACACCTAGTCACTTCCCCTAGGCTCTACTCTTTATACCATCACCTTGGGATGATGATTTCATCATGAATTTTGAAGGGATGTGAACACCCAGACCATAGCCATACCATAGACATCAGATATCACTGGATTGGCAACTTAACCACCTCGCTTGATTTTGCTTAAGGAGTCCTCTGGCTGTGCTCAGTTTAGTGTACCACAGGGCATTTAACATGATGCTTTACCTTTTAAGTCTAGTTCTTCAGAAAGAGTTTGGCATTTGTAGCAAATACCCAAAAGATTAGCATAGAGAAGAATCATTCAGAGCTAAAAAAAAAAGTGTTTAGTTTGGGTGGATGGATACAGAATTGAGTAAGGATCTCTCTGGCAAGAGAAGGAGGCATCAACATCACTCTTATGAGTTACAGATGCATCAAAACCTCGCCAGTGAGTCTGACACTTTCCAGATGTTTGTATAAAAAGCATAAATGTCCCGTTTTTATGTTTTTTTCTTTCAGTTTGATGGTATGGATCTCTTTTGCAGGGGTTATTAAAGTAGACCCAGAAATCCTTGTCATGGCTAAAATAAAAATAATTTTTGTTTGTATGATAATTAGATCTTTGCAAAGGATTTATATATATATTATCTCCAGTGATTTCAAAATAACCCGGAGAGGGAAATAAAGCAAATGTTTTCCTTGTTTTAGAAGTGAAGGGACAGGCCCAAATAGGATAAAAGTGCTTTTCTGGGGCCCCATAAGGAGTGGTAGATCTGGAATTTGAACTTAGCTCTAATTCAAAATCTAGCATTCTTTCCACAACAGCTGCCATTGTAGAATTAGATATCCCGTGTGTATAAAGTAGAGTGACTCATCCAATAATACAAAGAAGTTTAGTTTTAGAGTTGAGATTAAAAGCTGAATCTTACCAGTGGTGTCTCTCAAAATGCATGGAGCCTGCGTGGCTCGCGCTGAGTATGCTTGTTTCTTCAGGTCTACCACAGTGTATCTCATGGTCCTGTTCCAGATAGCACACAGACCTTCCTGTTGGACTGTGACCCTCATACACTGATGCATCCTGTCTGTCATTTGGAGTACCAGTGGCTCTGTTCACCCTCACAAAATCTTTTTAGATCCACAGCAGTTTGCAACCCCCCCCAACCTGCATGACTAGTGCTGAGCCCTGTGAAATACAGGAAAAAGATAATCACCCACATGAAACATCCCATGTTCTGGGTTGCCTTTTCCGTTTACCATACTCAGTGGTATTTCCGTCCTCTTTTCAAGAGTCTCCCAAACAGACTGCTTGTTTGTACTTTTCTCTCCACCAGAGACATTTAATTATTCCTACCTCATTGCTGCTCCCCAGCCTCTCCCAGGGTTTTAAATTGCACAGTGGTTACTGTCTATAGAGAAGGTTCAAGAGGGAGCATCCTGTTAGAACAATTACTTCTTTCCCTGCTGGGCCTTCGCAACAATCCATTTTTACTGGCTGCGAACTTTATCAAAGGAGTAAGGCAGGAGGGGAACTGTGAGCTTGAGAGATAATTGTATAAATCATATTGTAGAATACTTTTGCCAAAAGTGGGTTATATTTTTCTTCCAGGGAGTTAATGTATGGCATTGTTCCTCCAATTTTCCTGGTCTAGGCTCTCATTAACTGTTGCTTTCTATAGCAGGGAGACATTCTAAAGATGAATCCAAAGTTGGAAGACTTTCATGACAATTGTATTGACCTACTAAAGGAACCAGTAAGAAATAAACAGATAATACTCAATGAAGAAATCAATAAGGTAAAGAAAATTACTTAACTTCAGCTAGTCATTACTTTTGTTTTTAGTTATTGTGTATTGAAAAAGGTGAATTGAAACCTTCATATCTATCCAAATCAAATCTCCCAATGTAAATTCCATGTGAATTTCCTATTCCCCAAACTTTACAAGCAAGCAAACCTCCCTATTTGTTGCAGTTGCTTCATGGAGAAGTATTTATCTTTCCTCGGAGTCAGTACAGTTCTCATAGCTTCCATATAGGCCCTTCTCCACATGTTAAATCTATACCAAGACCCATTGCAATTACACAGTCACTGGCAGCAAGGACCATTAAGCAGCTGCCTTTTGTGTGTGTGCAGCTTTTAGCCTTTTAAACTTTGGGTCCTCTCTGTGTCAGAGGAAAGCTGTCCAGCCTTGGTCATCTTGTTGGGCCTTAGTATTACATTCAATGGTCCTTGGTTGCTGTGGTCTAATTCAGGGTTTTTCAACTTCAGCATTATTGATATTCTAGCCAGAGACTTGTCTGCTATGGAGGAATGTCCTGTGCATTGTAGAATATTTATTAGTATTCCTGGCTGCTACCCACCAGGTACTAATAGCATCACCAGTCCCCCCATTTGTGACAATAAAAATACATGACTGTAAACATGACTAAATGTCCTCTAAAATCATCCCCAATTGGGAACAAAAACAACTGGTTGAAATAAGAAAGAACAGTATTAAACATACACCACAGTTTCTTAACTAAGTATCTTAGAGTTCTAAATCCAATATCATATTATTAATTTTATTTAATTCTGCAAATTTTCTTACACTATGAAATGGGTACATTTTATTTAAAAAACTTAGAAGTTACTGGTACTAAACACACACGCACTAATTTATACTTAGGAAAAATGTTTTTTCTTGCTTTTACTTATTTTTTCATTAGAAAAAAGATCCCTTTAAATAAAAATAGTAAGATCTATTTTCGTTGAAAAATAACTTTTATTTAAATATACATTTTAAGACAGGATAGATCATCAGTCATTTAGAGTAAATGCAAAGGTTCACAATTATAGCTGTCAAGAATTATGATTGACATCATTTCATGTACACATTCTCATGCCATTGGTACAGACAGCATAGTGAAAGGGTAGGATAATCTCCACTTTTAAGCCACTCACCCACATTTACCCTCTTATTGTCTCTAATATATATATAGATAGATATAGATATATAAGCATATAGATATATAGATATCAGATGTAATGCCTCCCAAGAATACCCTGTGGGCAGATAACAAGAAGTATCAAGTGAAAAGCTTGTCCATGAATTATTGCATTTGATTCTGATACTTTTAAATAGTGTAAATCTTCTTCTGAAAATTATTGGAGTCAGAAGGAACAGTTCTACCAAACTATTACAAGAATGTATTTATCACAGGTTTTGTCCTGGAAATAGCAAAGTGTTTCTCATTTTTCTGACCCCAAAATGCAGCAGGTAGAATTAGACAATTCAGTCAGTGCAATGCATGTAGCACTGAGAACATATTAGTGATGGCGTTTTATCCCGAAGGTAGGTGGTAGGTGCCAAAGCTAAATCCACAGTAATATCTGAAAACTCCTAAGGTTAAATGGAGGTGCAGAGTATTAAGAGACTTGCCTAAAGTCATAGAACTATTTGGCAGAAGATGAGGGTTTTTGATGTTGGCCTTTAGAGCTACAGAATTTTAGTGCCAGAAGCAATTTAACAATCATTGGATCAAATCTCATTTTACAGTTGAGGAAACTGAGGCCAAACGAGATTAAATATCTTGCCCTCCAAAAGCCTCAAGAAATAGTGTCAGAGCTGGGCAGGTATCCCAGTTCTGAATTTCAGCCAGGTACCTTTTCCACAAGACCAATGGGGATCTCCAAGGAACTGCTGCATATAAATAAGCTGTTTAGTAATAGCTTATTTGTAGCTGTTTGTGCCAAACCTTTTCCCTCTCTCTGTCCATCTGTTTGTGTTAGGGTTAGTGAAGCAATACTGTGGAAGTCTTTTGTACCAACAATTCAGTAGATTGCTCTTATCAGATTAACAAGGACAGTCTCTGGGTCCTCCTGCACGAATTCTGATGCTGGCAGGTGGCAGAAGATGTTCTAGAGATATTCTCCTTGCAAAAAAAAATTAGGAGGGAGCACATTTTGCCACATTTATTTTCCCTTTTCTCTTTCTTTGCAATCTCCCCTCCCCAAGGGGCCCAAAGTCACCTCTTGGCTGCCATAGCCCCCTCCAAGGACCTTCTCCAGATGCACCTTCCATAGGACCAAGCCTTTTGCCCAATATCTGCCCAGATACTTCCCACTATCTTCATTAAATATTATTTATCTTAAAGTAAGACTGTCTGTTGTGGAGATGTTTTAGAAGATAAATTCTTGTCCTATTCCTCAAATTTGCCACATAGGTGGCTCCCCATTGAATTTACTTTGAGGATTGATTCTGCCCACTTAGTTAGATGAATGTAGAATATCATCATGCTTTCTCTTCCAAACTTTGTCTGCCTACATGGCAATTATTGTAAATCCAACTGATTGTGCCTCAGTGAAAATTAAAGTTCAGAAATCATGTCATATTCCCATGTTTAGAATTTGGGAAAAGATAAGGGAATTGACAAAAAAGAGAAAGAACACTGCAGAATATAAGAGAAACAAATTGAGAGCTGGTGAATTAGATCAAAATTAGACTATCTGTTTTGCCAGAACTTATCAAACTGATGCAGATATGTTCTGCTGTACTGAGCTATATAGATTCATTTACCCCTTTCTGGTAACACACTTTTTTCTAATAGTAAAGATGATTTCATGATGGAAACATAAGAAAATATAGTTAATATGTGTGAATGTTTAGGTAATTTTTCATAAATGAAAACTGTGTAGATCTAGGAAACTATAGCTCAGTGAGTTTTAAAAGTAGTTAGTATAAAATTCTATAATGAATTGAAAATTTACCATTTATTTTCATTAGAGGAAAAAGGCTCAAGTGCTAAAAGCCAAATGGACTTAGAAAAAAGACTTACATTAAACTCACCTTATGTTGCTTGTTGAGGTGGTTATTTAATGGATAATTCTAAGTTTGTGCCATTGGCATAGTTTCCTGTGATTTCAGGAAGTCATATGATAAACACCCTCATGTTTTCTCTCTTAATGTAAATGGAGAAATGGGAACTGAGTTTGGCTTTGATCAAGTTATAACTGTACCCACAAGTGCTCACTAGTTCATCAGTGTTAACCTGAAAGTCAGTTTGCCTTAGAGAAGTTTCTGGCTTTGGATTCTGTAGTCCCAACATTTGTATCAGTGGTATTAATGGAAGAATAGGAAATTTTAGTTGTCTAAATAGTCTCATGTGGTTCTGATAAAAATAAAACGAATGAATATAGGCCGGGGATTTAGCTCAGTGGTTTCGCCGCCTGCCCTGTAAGCGCAAGGACCGGAGTTCGATCCCCAGTACCAAAAAAAAAAAAAAAAAAAGAATGAATATAACACTTTAATAAAATCATATCACATTCATCAAGAAGATGATGATTCTACTGATTATTCTCCATCTGGAAAGCAGGTAAACCCTAAAACCAAACATTTAGAAGGAAAGATTAATTAATTAGTTGAAGTGTTCCCAGAAAAATATTTGAGAAAACACTGTCTCTCTTGGTAGTAGAAATTACCTGGTACCATTCTTTTCCATGAAAAACATTTTTTTTCTATTTTAGAAATTCTAAGAAGTAATAAATTGATATCTCTTGGATTCTTTTATTACATTTGGCACCAACTATGAAAATAAGATACAGGAGTTGACAATCAGTACTACTACAAGCTGGATTGGATGATGCACTTGGGTTTTTCTAGGGCATTTCTCAAAACTTCACACCTGGTGTAGACAGATTTGCCTACCCTGTCCTCTGTGTAGCTGCAGGAATACAAGTCAGATCCACTGGTGGAAATTGCAAGAAGGCAGGTCTTTGCTAAATAAAATGTAATCTTAATACTAGCAAATCACAAAATTCTCAAGCTAGACAACCACAGGCTTCCCATACAGAGGACTTCCTTGCCTTAGAACCAACCTGAACACATGCATTTGGGGGAAGGCAAAGCCTAAAAGAGAGGACCTTAGACAGACAAACCTGAGCATGCTTAGTTCCTTCTTAAACTCTCAATTAAGTAAACCAGTTCCTTCCCAGGAGGGATTGAGGAAGAGTGAGGAGATTGGCTTAGAGTTTTATTCGAGTTTCTCCCCTAAACTTGTTGTACAGTTTTAGACAATTGAAAACATTATTCTTCTGTGAAGAGACATAGGTTACCTGAAAGTATTATTAGGGAGTTGTCTGTGCTTGGTTGACCCTCAAGTCAACAAATATTCATATACATCAGCCCTCCCTAAGGTGACCAAGATGATTGCTATGGGTGTTGAGTCAGAACTGGTATGTAGTAGGAAGAAAGGAGTTTCAAGGTTGTAGGATCAATTCTCAAAAAGCTGTTAAAATAGAAAGGCAATTGAACTTCCTGTGTGTAGTTGCAAAAATACAAGTCAGATCCACTGGTGGAAATTGCAAAAAGGCAGGTCTCTGTTAAATATAATCTTAATGCTAGTAAATCACAAAATTTTCAAAGGAAGCACTCTTTTCAGGAAGAGTTCAAATAGAAGCTTCCAGAATATTCTAGAGGAGATTCTTATATTGAATAGGAGGTTTGATCAAAGCCCCTATGAGAAGGAAAATAAGCATCCTATTTACAGGAAGAGATGAGAAAGCAACTATGCTAAGCTATTTTAGGAAAATCAAAAAGGAGGGGATGTGTGTTTACTGGACATGTATTTATTTAGTAATTTGTTTTTTGAATGAGAGGGACTTCTAAGAACTTCTGGGTTTTAGACCCAGAGTTTAAACTTCTATTAAAAGACTGAAGGAAACCACTTTCTCTATGCTTTCTCTGAGGGAAGCGCATCTCTGTGGGATAGGAGAGAGAACATTGTTTATTTTCTCCAATCCAAAAACAGATTTATTTTCTCAAAAATAATGTATAAAGTATATGTCAAGAGCAGGACTATGGGCTCAAAGGAGGAACTCAAAATAAAGACAAGACATGACTTTCTTAAATCTGAGTAGTAGCTACGGGACAGAAGTCCACACTATTTCTCCACACTAATAAAGTAAAATGCATCCCAAATGCTAAGCAGAGGCACAGAAGTAGGTATAAAATAGAGGCACGAGGTACATGCGATCACTTTCAGTTTCAGTCTTCTTTTGAATCTATTCCAGAAGGGAAATTTAAGCCTCTTCTTAAAGCAGAAATGGACATGGATTAGTAGGGAGAGAGAGCAGGACAGTGTAAGCAGGAGGGGAAGTGCAAAGAGGAAGGAGGTGGGTGATTTTCCTTGTTCACTGGTGCACTTTCTTGTAAAAGCCTGTGATGTATGGTTGCTCCATTAATATCACCTTCCCAGTTTGCAGTCACACCCGTATGTGTGGAAACTCCACTTTCACTCACCACATCATCCCCTCCAGCACTGAGCATGATGCCCCCTCCATAGCAGGTGTTCAATAAATATTTTTTCAGTGTCAGAATAAAACTAAGGGCTTTAAGAAAATAAACCCAGTCATTAAGCATGGTTTTCTCTGTATGAAGCACCTAGAGCCAGAAAATTCATAGAGGAAGAAAGTAGAAGAGTGGTTGTCAGAGACTGGAGTGGGAGAATACAGAGTTATTGTTTACTGGCTTCCATGTTTCAGTTTGGGAAAAGGTTCTGGAGTACATGGTGGTGATGGTCACACAGTGATGTGAACACATATAATGTCACTGAACTGTGTACTTTAAAAAGATTAAAATAGTAAATTTTATATCATATATATTTTACCACTTTTTTTTCAAAAATGACTTTCTTGAGAGAGAAGTGTTTTTCTGGGAGAGACTGATGTATCATTTAACAAGAGGTCTCTAAGGTTTAGGAACTACGTGTGCATGTGACATGTAAACAAATAAACCTGATCAAAGCCAAATTTATTGGTGGAGGAGACTCCTCAGATAATGGTGTGAAAGACACTGCTGAGCGCAGCGCCGTCCCTGCAGTCCCTGGAGATGAGACTGGGCTTGTTTCTGTCTGTTTCACAAGGCCTGTCCCATTTCCCTCACGAGCCCTGCGGTCAGTTCAGTCATGGGATGCGACTGCCCCCAGCTTAGACAGACAGATGGTTCCACATTCTTTACTCCTAGTGGCAACTTCTTGAGCTATAACTCACAGTTGGTTTTCTCAAATTGCCTCCCTCAAGTTGAGTTTCACTCTCATTGGAACCTGGAAAAAAAAAAGCACATGACTAATGGAGCTTTGTTTTCCTCCTCTGAAGGGACAAGCACCGGGGGCAGACATCTGGGCCATCAATGGGACAGGTGACTGTGGGCTTGCACCGAACCTGAGGCAGCTTTCCTCTGCCAAAGAGGGCAGAGTCCAGGGCTTGCTGCTGCCTGAAGACATGCCATCAGGAGAAGAATCTGAGTGTGTCTCCTCTGACAACATCTCCTTGCCGCCCCTCCCGGGAAGCCCTGAGTCCCCCCTTGCACTGTCATCAGACATGGAGGTGGAGGAGCCCCCCAGCCCCTCGGCCCTCAGCCTTCCCATGAGCAGCTCCAGCTTGCAGTCCAGGACCTGCGGTCCAGGGGAGGCCCAGGAGTCTGTCCTTCCACCACCTGTCACTTATGCTGATGCATACAATAATAAGAAAGAAATATTTTCAAGTCATTTTGAGAGACCTTACCCCCAGTTCAAAGCCGAGCCCCCATTAACATCTGGAGAATTTCTGGAAAGCAGTACTGCCTTCCACAAAAACAGTGCTAAGCAGCCAGAGAGCATGCTGAGTGACATGCATGACAGAGCTTTACAGAAGCACCCGCAGGCTCAGGGAAGCTTGCTAGAAACGCAGGAGAAAATGCATGGCCATGATAACAGCACTAAAACCCAAGATAGACTGCATGCTTCCCCTGCTGTGCTCTGGAGCCTTGGCTTTCCACCAGGCACCAGCCTGGGCTCGCAGAGGCAGATGGTTCCCGGAGAAGAGGCGAAAACTCCATCAGCAAAGAACAGCGTGGTCAGCCTAGCTGGCCAGGCACCTCATTTCTCCAGGCTCCCATCCAATGTAACAGTCACGGAAGGTTCTCCAGTGACTTTGGAAGTTGAAGTAACGGGATTTCCAGAGCCTACGCTGACATGGTGGGTAGCCTATAATGACAAGCCGTAAACAAACAGCTATGCAGCACATTCTGTGTGCGACAACTTAGGGGCACAGGGCTTGCTGCTAACGCTGTGTGACCCTGTAACTCAGGACGGCCCAATCTCATCCCACCCCCACTCCCACTTTCGTAACAGCATGGGTCAGACCTTTAAAAAACAAAAGTCACCACATGCAGTAATCATTTAAGCACCTCCAAGAGCACTGGAAGTTGGTTGCTTTGATTTTCTTTCCATTTAACATTCCTCATTCCCAGCAACGACAGGTTGAAAGACTTTCCCTGTTGTCTATTTCTACATCCATCAGCATGAAATGTTCTTGTTTTAACACCTTTTATGCAATTTTAAAATATCTGGAGTTTTCCCTTTCATTTCATTTGCTTATTCCATCTCTTCTGTCTTTCCAACAGTCGCACATGCCACCTTTGTAGTATTTCTTTGTTTTATTACGATTTCTTTTTATAAATTCCTTCAATGTGAGAGGTGAAATAAAAATGTTTCTTTCACAGTTGCTGCAGGTGACAGGTAATAAATTCATTTTTGAGAGGTGGTGTAATAAGTGAGCTGTGAACAATATGATTTTACTGTGGAGCCATCATTTTTTAGCCTATTTGTTTTAGTGAAAATAAATGGATTACAGGCTTTAAACCACCTGTGATCGTTAACAGCAAAGCCAGTTCTAACTTTCTCAATATGAGGGTTGCTTTTGAATCTTTAGAAATTTTTTGTTCTTAAACAGATTTAAGGACAAAATAAAAAATATATGATAGCAAATTTATACTTATAAACTCCGATAAGTAAACTAGCTTTTATTTACCAGGATATTTTAGAAGACAATAAATTAACCATTTCAGTTGCTGTATGTGCACATGGACGGTACTGAAAGTGTGAACCAGCTACCCAAAGAGTTACTAGAAAACTTTAGTTTTTCAAATTAGTAGGAGAAATCGCACTTGTGTGTGGTGCAACATTTATGCTTTTTTACTTGTTTAGTTATTTTTACAATTGCATGTTTTTTACAAATCAAGAATTTTGTATTTATACATTTAAAAGGTATTTAATTCATTATTAAATATTAGTTCATCCCAAAGAAAAATGTTATCTGAAGTGTTTCTTGTTTTTATCCATGCAAATGAATTAGAGTTGCGAGTAAATTACTGAAGAACCACTGCAACCTATGTGTTATTGAAGCATTACTGCAAATTGTGAAAGAATGTATTATTATCATATTTGTAACAGATTTGCTCAATGAACAACTGACAAGCTGTCAGGGAGTCATACATTCTTAGCACACTCCGAAAAATGCAAAGTTAGCACTTAACCAATGGGAAAAAATTATTCAGGTTTACCATCAGTCCTTGTATGGAAGAAAGTTGACATAAATAAATTAACAACAGTCTAGAATTATGGGATAAATTATTTGTTTTATATAAAGATCTAGGTAAGTGCTCATCTCTGTAGGAAACTTTTGCAAATATGTCATTAAAAGTCAAAAGCCAATTGTATAAATGACTTTCAGAATGAGAAGTCATCTTCTCATGAAATTAATTCACAAAAATGAAATGAACTCATTTTCCCAAGAAATTGTATATCAGTACCTTCCTCCAACATGGCACCGCTGTAATGTGTGGATCTGTGATGTGTGGATCATGAAGGGCAGATGCATCTCACCCCAACACAGATTCTAAGATGGAGTCACAGCTGCTGTGCTATAGCAGCAGAAAGGCCAAGGCAGACTGAATATGAGGCACTGTTTCATTCTCTAGGGAACTGTTGCCATGGGCAAATCACAGGCCAGTATGACCAGATGGTCCAGCTTTTTAAGAGGAGTTGAATATCTGAATTTTCATATGTAATACTCTAAATTTTAGAGGTTGTCAAAATTTAATGTTTCAAAAACATTATCTGGGGGCTGGGGATTTAGCTCAGTGGTTCCGCCGCCTGCCTCGCAAGTGCAAGGACCCGAGTTCGATCCCCGGTACCAAAAATAGAACCCCAAAAAACATGATCTGATCCTATCAAAGAACTCCCCTGGCTACCAGTACCAACCTCTTCTTGAAAACTAAACAGCCTCACAGGACTCTTGTAGCCAGAAAGTTCCTGCCAATACTTGAGAAGACTGCAGTGGTAATGAGCCTACTTACAGTAATTGTTAGAACTTGGAAATGAAGTGAGTAAAGAGTGATCCTGACTTTAAAAACTGACTCTCTGCTTTAGGTACAAGAAGGGCCAGCACTTGTCTGCAGACGGGCACTTACAGGTTTTACACAAGGAGACAAAGCATTCAGTGTTCATTCCGGAGGTATGCAAGGCGGACGCAGGCCTCTATGTGGCGCAGGCCCAAAATGCTAGTGGCATTGTCTCTTCCAATGTCATCCTCCACGTGACAGGTAACCTCAGGCCACCAATCGCAAGAATAAGCTGGGTGATGCTGTGTGTCACCTATGTTAGTGTATCCCTGATGTACTGGCTACTCACATGGTAACTGGTGTTGGCGTCGATGGACATCAGTCTTTTGAACCTCAAGGACAAGATAGTTGTTTATCTTTTGGCCCCTCCCACTGAGCACCCCCCAGAAATGTACCTCCACCCTGGCCATCTTGCTTGCTTGGCTAATACCATTACGAGGTGAAAAAAGTCAAATTTTCTTCAACTTGTTAAATGTATTTGAGGAACTTGGTACATTATGTGCTGTGGAGAAGGATTTCTTTTTTTTTGTATTCTAGAAAGAGATGTATTTGTTATAACATGCAGCAAAATTATGCTTATTCCTTCCTAATGTAAGGACACACAGATGAGTGCTCACATCAGCAAGGAGATGAGAGCTAATTTTCATATCCAGTTGTTTGATAATTTATTTTTAACTGTACGCATCAACATCTCTTTTCAGGGCATAACAGTAGAACTATTGAATTGAAGTTGTGATTTTTCAATGTTGCATTAGCTGTCCTTTAATTTTATTTTTCATGTCTTGATCTCATTTACTGAAATACATTCTATGTAATTTCAACGTAGATTACGTTCCTAAGTCTGAGTATGTCATTGAAATAGTCATTCCTTTTGTTGATTTCACAAGTTTGACACTGGAGAATAGATGTGGTATCAACTTTAAATAAATTTCAGTTTTCCATCTGCTCCACATTTTATATAGCAAGATGGAATAGGGGCTGCAGGAATGGACCAACATTATACCTGTCGTTCCATTGATGTGTTTTGTGTATCCATGTATATACAACAACAACTGCAAAAAGATCCTCTTGCTTCTAATCTTGGTTATGCTGCTGACCACTTTCATACTATGTGGCAAGGCACTTCATTGCCTCAGTTTCCCATCTGGAAAATGGGTTCATAATCTACCTCTTGAGCAATTGAGAGTTTTCATTTCATGTCTTGTAAAGATCTGAAAAAATAGAAAACATTCCTTGAAGGCTAAAAAGTAACTATATTGTTTAATTTGTCATCACATTGGCCTGCTGCCCACTATTTCTCTTTCAGATGCTGTTTCTTTAGAATATTAAATTGAAGGAGTGGCATTAATGTATAATTTCCAACTCTTCCCAGAGAGGAAAATGATTCTTATGAATTAGAGATAAATTCCTTTCTAACTTCTTACAACTATGTCCTTTTCAAAGACTTGAAATTAAAATCAAGAGAATACATTTAGAATGTTCTAGAGAAAAATATGTAATCAGATAGTAAAAGATGTATTCTAACCTTTTTACAATTATCACTGTAATATTAAAAAATAGTCTATTCCTTTTTAAAATGCATTATTCTGAAAAGATCATCTTTTCTATTTTTAAAAAAATATATGAGAGGTGTTTGTTTTTTAATATTTTAACATAGCCTGTCATGATAAGGCAAAATCTTTAGTTTATAGAATAATTCATTACAGATTTTTGATGAAAGGAATTAGTTATGTTATTAGAAGACTGTCTACAGATAATCATAATATTTAAATGTAATATATTCAAATTGATATTAAAAAGTTACTAAATATTATCTGAAGATATGAAATGTCTTGTCAACTAAAAAGTTGGCAGGTTCTCTCTTGTGTTGCATATTCAATTTATTTAGAAAATTAAAACTCTTAATTTGCCTCCAAATTTTGTCAGAAACCTATTAAATGCTTATATATACAACATCCTGGAGAAGCCATGGTCTTTTTAACACTCCTATCATTTTTATCCAATTTCAAGTATTTGCATATCTTATCTGTTATTGCCCATGTGGAAGTGAAAGAGTAAAACCTATTCATGTCCAAAGGAGGGAAGAGAACAAGGTAACAAATTCTGTGTTCACACTTTCAATCTCTTATTAATTTGGTGAGATCTTTATACTTTTATCAATATGGTTGTCTTTGAGTTTGGAGATTTTTAAGGCACAGGAATCTCTGGTTGTTTTTATCTCTTGTACTCCTGTTAATGTTAATCCTTTGGGGAACAAGGTAGTGTATAGATCCATCTTAAATGTATGACCACAAAAGACATGTAAAATACACAGGTATGTATGCATATATAAATTGAACTGAAATCCTAGGAGGAGAGTCCTGTGCTAATATTTAAAATATAGTTCAAATAGCTTGACATTTATCTCTTTACTTATCCATCTGGGCTATTGACTGACTCTTCACATGCCTGTGAAGAATAAGCTACAAAGTTATTCTTATATTTTAATTTCAAAACTGATTATATTTTAATTTCAAAAACTTAACTATGATTTTCTTTTGTATAGGATTTCTTTTTTTCTTCTTTTTTTCCCTTGCAATGGTGGAGATTGAACCCAGGGCCTGGGACAAATAGGCAAGGATCCTACCATCAAGCTATTCCCAGCCTGTTTTTTTTCTTTAAATTTTGTGACAGGGTCTCGTTAAATTGCCCAGTCTGGTCTTGGACTTGTAAATCCTCCCATCTCAGCCTTACAAGTCCTGGGATTATAGGCATGTGTCACCACTCGTCTTTGGTCAAAGAATTCTCCTTATGAAATTATATATAAAAATTGCAGGTTTCAAAATATAAGACCAAAGAAATTGAAATTATGTTTTCATTTTAAGGTATACCCATCTACTTCTAGAGAAAATTTTGCACAGTTAGTAATATGAAATATTTTTAACAAGAAAATTAAAGTGTAAAGAAAAATTTGAAATTATATATGTATAGCAGCCTGAAGGAATGCAAAAATATTGAATTTCCAATAAGGTAAAATCATTGTTTTCAGTTTTGACTTGCCAATAAAAGATATATAAACATTTGGTAATAGTTTTTTGTGCTCAATTCTGAAATTTACTTTAGAAATTCTTACATCTGAGTTGCTGAATATCCTATATCAATAATACTTGAAAAAGAAGTAGAAAAATAATTTAGCTATTTTATTTAATACTGGTGACTATTGTGTAATTATAGGACTTCAAACAGATGACTGCAAGTTTAAATTCACTTGAGTAGTACACAGCCTCCTTTCCTATCTGGCCTTCCCTTCTCAGCTTCTGTCCCATCCCCTTCCAGGCCCTCATCTTTATTAAGGCATTTAGCTTCATGTTTTTAAGCTATTGCACTTTTTTTCTCTCCATCCCTTTCTTCTAGAATTCCCTTCCTACATTCTACTCTGTCTTTCTGTGATTCAACTCTCACTAATCTCTGGTTCCATTTGAGACACTAGCAATCCAGCTGGCCCACCAAGGCTGGTGTAGATGTTCCTGCTATATGTACTGTCAACACCTAGACCATACGACGTCCCGTAACATACAGCATTATAATTGCATCTGTCTTCTCTTGCTAGACTGTGAAATATTTATCAGCAGGATCCATGACAGCCCTGTTCATTATCTTTCCAGCACCTAAGACATAATCACACTCAATAAATACTTTTTGGGTTGAATTGTCAGAAGTAAAGAAAAATAAATCTAGCTTTTGTATGTGTGTTTTAAAAAATCCCTGTACAGGAGTTGGGGAGAATGTAAAAAGAGAAAAATTATTTTTTTCCTTCTTATGGACATGGGCCTGTCAGAATCAGTTTCTAGCCAGATGCATGCATGAAATATTTCCACTTAATTTCTAAAATGTACATGAGAACCCTCGAGTCCCTTTGGGATAGACCCTGATTGAAAAACTTAAACTTAGAAATAGACGCTGGCTCCTGGAATCAAAATGATAGTAGGAGGAAAGATTAAAAGTCCAGGATCATTGTTTCAGCATTTTAAACTAGATGTACTGAGACATCACCCAGCTTCAGATATAAGTGGGAAGGGGTGCATCTGCTGTCAGGAACCAAATCCAATCAGCCAAAACCAGAATTTGTGTGTTTTGTTAGAATACTACATAAATTATCAATATTTAATTGTAGCTGGAGATCTGTAAGCTGACTGTGAGCAGATCTTATTTGAAATCAGTATTTCATACATAATTATAAATATTAAAAAAGCCAAATCCAAGACCTCAGAGTATTTGAATTCCAAACGAAAGAAAGAATATTGTATCATGTCTTGCTTTATGGTTGTCTTTATTCATGACAATTCCTTACTAAAATTTACCATCTGAAGCTTTTGACATTCCTCTCATACATACAGGACTTTAAGTGTAGCCATGAAGCTGGTGGAAACAAAATAAAATATCTCCTCCCAGTATGCTCTGATATTATGCACGTCAGTGCAGATGCCAAAGCATGACAGACTGTTTTCCATTTATAATAAGCAGAATCTTGAGTTGCCTCAGAAAGCCAAAAGATTTGCATTCACTAAATGAAACAGTGTCCTGCTTAAAGCATAACAAATCATTTTCTCTGCTTTTATCACAGGAGATGAGATTGGAAAGGTATTTGTGGTGCGTTAGATCAACCTTAAGACCAAAAGTACAAAGCTGTTAATTTGCCCTTTTTCCATGAGTCTACACACTACTGTTCTTGGGTTGGTGAGTGTTTCATAACATCATAGGCCACCTAAATGGTGAAGGTTGGATGTGTCACATTCCTCCTGATGAATAAGGCTTTGATTTTAGAGTTTGAGTGTTTGGCCAGCTAGGTCTTATTTTTGTTGAATAGCAAATTTATCTGTGTAAACCAATTCATGGCAAATGTGAGTCCTTGGAGTCTACTTTTTATACTGTAAAAGTAACATTCTGTCCTCCTTAAGAACAAGTTAGGAGAAAGAATTATATAGATAAGAATATTTGTATGTATATATTTCCAGTTAGCACAATAAAAATTGGGTGAAATAAAATATATTTTAACCATGGGAGTACTAGAAAACATCGATCAAATCTGATTTTTCTTTAAGCCAGAACAATGATAGTTACATAATTTAAAGTTTGCAATTGGCATGTGGATGGCTCCCTGCTATGACTTTTTCCATTTAGAACCCACTTAAATATGAATGCTTGTGAAATAACAGCTCCAGAGCTAGGTAATAAAATGAAATAACCTTTTCCCTTTGTCATTCAGCATCTGCTCTTTTTCTAAGAAATTTATTGATCCAAACAACTACAAAATGGTATTTTTATCTTATGTTAGCATTAAAAAACATACAAAGAAATGTTTTGAAGACAAAGGATGAAATGTACAGGAACATACTTCATCCACAGCAAACAGCCTCTGAAACATATAATGTTGCCAGAGAATCATCTGTCTTTGTGAGAAGTGCTCTAGTTACCCACACACAAACAAGCAAACAGGGTCAGCTGAAAAGCAGACAAAATAGGAAGCGCTTACCTGCAGGATAAGAAAGGCTGAGCTTCCCAGCCCCTCCAAAGTGTCATCTGTAGCAGCCATGGTGCCCCTAGGCCCGCCTTTGAGTCCACTTAGTGCAGCCCCAGAAAGTACCTGCTAAAATGCATTTTCATTTATTTTTTTCATTTCTATTACTCTTGGAGGAGTAATAGAATTTCTTATCACATTTTGGTTATCAGATAAAAGTATTTTCCCCCTCAAAAAAGTACATCCAGGTGAAAACTGGAATATACGGGAACCTGAAAGATTTGTGTACTGTGACCCACTTAGGTTGGTGACTGGGGAAATGTAGGACAGGAAGAGGAAAGTAGCCAGACAGCAGGGCAAGGATGCTGAGTGTCTGCTTTGGGTTTCATCTTCCCTCTGGGTGGATTTCCTACAGGTTTGGGAGATGTGTAAGAGAGCTCCCTGAGAGGAAGTTAGAGGCCATGATAAACTGTACCTGATGGCAATTTCTATTACCCAATTAGAGGAATATCTAGGTTGAACAGTGTCAGGGTAGACCCTAAATCCAAAGACTGCATCTTTATAAGGAGACCAAGTCAGACTCAGGAAACACACAAAGGAAACAGGTACATGACGGCAGAGGCAGAAGGTATGTGGCTGCTACGAGCCAAGGAATTCCAGAGACAGCAACCACCAGAAGCCAAGAGAGAGTTCTCCCCTCCACACTTCAGAGAGAGGAGGAGCCTACTGATGTGTACTGTGTACTCTGGCATTTCTCTGCTTCAGAACTATGAAAGAATAAATTTCTCTTGTTTTAAGTCATCTGGTTTGTGGTACTTTGTTACAGTATCCCCAAGAATTGACTACAAAGACTGTTTTAGAAAAGTCAGCATAATTCTTTCTCTGACAATAAAATTCCCAGAGACATTGATTAACCTAATCAGCCTTTCAAACTGGTACTCTCAAGGTACGCTGGAATGCCTCTATTCTCAACTTCGGTGCTCACGTTGGTCCATTTCAGTTAATCAACAACTATCCATCTTCCACACTAACATCTTCCCTGAGGTGCACCGTGGGGCTGGGGGTTCTAGGAAAACATTATACCTTCAAGATACATATTTACTACTTGCTTGATGATGAGGTACATGCAAAAATACAAAGGAACAAAACAGAACAGCATATAATCTGAGTGAAAAAATGGGCTCTAGAGTAGGGGAGACGCAAAAGGAAGTTGCGTTTAGAAATATAACCCAAATAGTAATGTGCAGTGTAGTACAGTGTAAGAAAGGAAAGAAGTTGAAGAAATTATATTACTAATGGACAAACATTAGAATATATATGACCCGAATAGCATTATCAAACTTCTTGCTACAATTGACACTTACAGAATAGTTCATCTAACAGCGGAATATATACTCTTCTCACGCTCACGTGCAGCACTTACCAGAATAGATAGCATTCTTGGCTAGAAATCACATCTTAAA